AAATTGTACCACCAAGATCTTATTAACAGTGAAGGCAGTTGTAACCTGAAAGTGAGAAATTAGAATGTTGTAGTAAATTTAGTACTGGTACAGGAAATTCATAATGGGATATATTTTAGGAACCATCTAATGAAATTTCACTAACTAGGCTGTGAGTACAGAGAATCTCTTATAGGCACTAACACCCTGAGGATAGGGATGATCTAAACTTATCTTTCTGTCAGGAAGAAAAGTCATTACCATTGCATGCATGCCCAGCAGTACAGTACTAATTTCCATGTTTGGTGTCACAGTCATTCTTCATAATCACGGACAAATGAAATGAGTTACAAGAGATAATAATTGTTACAGCTGCTGGAAATTTAAAAAAAAATTATATAATAAGTCAAATAATTAATCTGGATTCCACAAACTTGGCTCTTCTCATGTAGCTATAAGAGTTGCAACAGTGGTTGAAATATATCTTGATTAGTTCAGTGATCATGGAAGTATGAACAGTTAGATTATATTTAGGGAGTTTGTAAAGAAAAATTAATAGATTATCCACGATGGGCCCTAGTAAACAATAACATCAGATCTGAAGTTTAAAAGTTAATGCCCATTTTGAGTTTCAGCAATTTTTCAACAAGGTTAACATTATCCCTTATACAGTGGACCCCCGGTTTACGATATTATTTCATTCCAGAAGTATGTTCAGGTGCCAGTACTGACCGAATTTGTTCCCATAAGGAATATTGTGAATTAGTTTAGTCCATTTCAGAACCCCAAACATACACATACAAACGCACTTACATAAATACACTTACATAATTGGTCGCATTGGGAGCTGATCGTAAACCGGGGGTCCACTGTATAGGAGGAGGATTACTCTACCTACTATTGAAGTCAGAGGCATAACAAGCTACATTGCCAGCTTGCACATAGCCAACCCTAGACAAGTGATAATGAGGTTGGGGATATAAAGCATGATATATGTATACTCTTAGACTGTGTATACAGCATAATTAATTTTATTTACCATATCCTTAAACATCGACTTCTTTATTTATTTTTCCAGAAGATATATCTTTCTTGATTCTACAGTCTTAATTTAACTAAATATACTGTACAAAGTTTTGTACAAAACATTCCTTTGTACAGTATTATATAAGGTACTGTACCAGTCAGCTATGTACCTATTTGTATAGCTTTTGCACAGGAATCTTTTTATAGGCCTAACAGATCAATCAGTCCATATTATTGTAAAGAGTACTGCTACACTGGGGTTTGACATAAATATATATAATCTGATTTCCTGGGCTGTCATTTTCTTAGACATTTTATCTCGCTGTTTCAATTAAACTTTTCCACAGTTTAAAAGGCTGAGCATCAACTTATTAATTCTGGGCATTCAGTTGCTGCCATTGTTGTGGTTTGCTAATGAAATACAGTACCATTTTTATATTAAATTTTGTATTTTTTTATATACAGTATATTCCTTCAGGTCTAGCATCATTCTCATATTTTTTCCTTTCCTGGTGAAACCATTTTAAAGCATTGATGATTTTTCTACTGCTGCAGGACTTTGTATTTACTGTTGTGTGCATTTTTAATTCTTGCTAAATACTATATGGCTTCAGCTGCATAAAAAGAAAAATAAGAAATGTCTAAATTGTATTGTGGATGTGTTTGTATATACTGCACATAAATTGTCTTATTGATTTACTTATCTTATTTCTAAACATACATTATGATTGATCTGTATTCAGCTCAGGTGTTCTGTAGCTTGTGTAATAATGAAGGGAATACATTACATGTCTGTGTTTTTTTTATTTGTGTGCAGACAATGCCATGGAATTTTATTGTTTGTAAGCTAAAAAATAATTGATTTCTTTTGTCATCTTATCTAGTAATAAAGATTAATCAAAAAATGTCTCTTTCATATTTGCACCTGCACATTAGCTTCAATTAAATGTATTATAGAAACAAAATCTGCACCTAACTGTACATGCGGTCTCTAAAGATGGTTAAAAAGTACAGCACTTCTTGATTATCCCAGAATATATATTTTTTTTCACATGTTATTTTGCTTGTTCTTTATAGAGTAATTACAATATGTTGCTAATATTTTGGTGCATAAGTGATGCTTTCCTGTTTGGTTTCATTATTTCTGAGCACAGATCTTGCATCATTTACAAATGCTTTTCTTTAAACTGACATCCAGAGTAAGACAAAGGATGTTTGAAAATTTATCTTCCTTCTTCCTCTCACAGATGGGTGTAAGTATTTGATAAAAATTTACTGTCCTATTGTATGTGGCCTTGCTCACATCCAGGAGAAATAAGTAGTGAGAGAGCACTCCTTTTAATATTTAGGGAAACTATGGTCTTAATCAATGCTGTTTTAGGTTACACTGGCTGGAGCTTCCTGTGCTGTAGCCATGGAGACATGGTACTACTCTTGTGCTTTTTGCTAAGTATCGAGACCCATATATGTACTCTTTATTTAAGCTCAACTGGAAATCGTGCCTGACCCTATAGCTGTGGACGATCAGTGGGCAGTGCATGTCTGTGATGAGTGAGTGGATAAAATTCAAACAGGAGATTCAGTGCTGGCCCTACTGAATCAGTCAATTGATCATATTAGGCTAAAGCCCAGCAGGCATTAGAAGGTATACACCCTTTTGGTCCTGTGGCTGCTCCCAGGCACTTCACTACACTACACCAGTTAAGTGTTTGGTGCCTTCCATTGTAAGACTCACTGGTGGGTGGAGGGATGGAGAGATGAAATTGTTATATTTCTCTCTATAAAATTTTATCCCTCCCAATACTCATCAGGCAGCTGAACAGGCATAAGAAGCTTAACAGGCACGGAAGGTCCCCAGTTCTGAAGATGACGACAACAATAATTAGAGGGTAACCCAAGAAAGTCAAGTAGTTTAGCTTATTTCCATTGGGAACCTTTTTTTTTTTGTAGGTCCTCCCTCAGGGTGTGAAGATCAACAATCAACTAACAAAAAAGATGCAGGTATTAGGAGTCTTGCCCATTCAACCTACCTTTCTGATTCTAAATTCTTGATGCAGTGAGACAGGTTTATGGATAGTATTTTAACAAGGATATACAGTGATCACTCCTTACTGCTGTCATCCACTTTGTTGTAAACTGTCAAAAGTTCATTGCAAGCAGTTTAAACCTGTGATTCTTCATATTCCATTGTCCTACATGTGCTAGGCTGGCTGTGACATGGCTACAATAGTGTTCAGGGAAATAAACCTGCAGAATTCTGTGTACATTCCTTGGTTCAGGACCTTCCAGTCTCCTACAGGTGACTGATATTTTCCAACTACAGTATTTTCCAGTACTAATTTAGTCCTTGTATCACTGCCAGCTTTGTTGGTCTGCATTAGTGACCAACAAATTATTTTCAATCAGTCCATAATATGCACTTCTGGTCATCTAGCCTTCATTACTGTCAATTGTTAGAAACGCTACTCTTGCTCCTGTGTATATAAGATGCACCCATCTTATGTGGGGTTATCTGATGGAGGGACAGCTGGCACCACTTTGCAAAACTGGCAGGTCGTGCTAAGAGTTCAGGCTCTTTTGATTGTTTTGTGCACCAGACAGCACTCCAACTTCATTTTGGACCTCTACCTCGGTGCCCTAGCATTCTTACTCGCCTGCCCTCTCTGATATTCTGTCGCTGTAGCTTATTTACTTACTGATTGACTTCCTTTTGGTTTTCTGTTGAACCTCAATACATCTGCCTTTTTTTTCTGTTCTGTCAGCTTCTCTTTGCCATGCTGTGCTGAATGACCCACATAGGTTTAGCGTTTTCTGTGAATATAATAATATGGTAATCACAATGTATAATACTTGTCAATTTTTGAGATGTTGAAATTGGTATGCCTAACATATATCATCCTTGTTTCCACTTTTGAAGCAGAGTATAGGGCAATGATTTATTTTTTTGTGTTGTCTCGGTACAAGGATTCATCACAGAGGATAATTCAGGGCAGAGAAGTTGATGGGTTGGATGTGGCTGATCATAGAGGATTTTCAGTGGAGGAGCACCTAGGTACTGTTAAGTGATTCATCATCACTTATTATTTTAATTGTTTATGATTTAAAAATATTTTTGCAATTTCATTCTTCCTTAGTCAGAGACTTCTGAAGTATCACTGTGAACAGTGAAATAATTTTCAACATCACTGTCTCTTGGTACAACATTCCTGTTGTGTAGTCTGACATCAGAAACTTGCATTTTTTGAGTGAAGCACAAAGTATGGTTGCAAAATTACTGGAAAAAGTTATTGGAGAAAAGTGGATAAGACATTTGAAGAGCAGTGAAATATTAATCTCGCTGGAGAAAGAGCTTGGTGACTTTACATGCCAGCTGTAACATGTAATGCACAGCAACCCCATCTCAGGAATACATTGTCTATTACTAACTAACATAGTACATACCCTCCTTTCTACATTTACTATTAGACTCAGGATTTTAAGATCATAACTGATAAATGTGACAATTTAGGCATATTATGGAAATGAATCCATACTTTGGGTTAGTTCTTGTCTTTTTTAGAACAGAGTAATTAATTGGTGTTTGTGACAATCAGTATATACCCCAAAAGGATATTCATTCTTGTAAAGTGCTGTGTATGTCTTTTATAGCTATTTTAATATACTGTAGCATTCTCTGTGCTTTTTGGGGGAGTCTGAATATTTCAGTAAGGATTAAGTATAGTGAACTTGGATGTGTAAAAGTTTAGTTGCTAATGGACAACTTTTCAGATAATTATTGCTTGTACTGGATGATTTGATATTGGTCTATAATTGCTTTAAGTTTCAGCAATATACCTCAAGTTCATTTGCTTCTCTCAGGTAAGTTGTGTCCTCCAAATAGTAAATAGGAGTGATAGCATTTGCAAGCACTTTGTATAATTGTTCAAATATAAATATCTTTTATTGTGTATTAATAATAGTTTGCTCTTGTTAACTCTTGAAATTCTTGCTTTCAGATGAACAACGAGAACCTTGTATGTCATCTATGAAGAACCTGTGGGAGCGTGTAGGATGCACAAAGCCCCATGACCCGCACCAAAGATATATGCCAGTTTTGGTGTGACAATAACTGTAACAAAGGTTGTGATCTGTGACTTATAACCTTCCATCTAGGCTGGACCTGATGATGATGAGGTGGAAACCTCGAAGATTGGAGACCACTTTTAATTGTTTGTGGCTTCTCTAATCAATGCATATTGGCAATGCTGTGGTCAGCAGTTAGCCCTGTTTAATGAAGTTAATTATAAATGATATCTGGTATGTAATACTGACAGGTAATGGTTGTTCACTTTTGCAGCTTGATAAAAATTGGCAGATGCATTCCAGTTTCAGGAGATGGGAAATTGAGAGAGTTTTTAGAAGCATTGTGAAGTGTAGGCTGAGAAGAGTATAATTACACAAAAATACCTGGAAGGTATTTGGCTATTAGCTTATTGAGCATATTAGGATTTTTTCTTTTTTTGCTAGAATTGTGATGATAGTGAAAGATGGTACATGACTTGGTAGAGGTACAGTTTATGCGAATGAGCTTATGAGAGCTGAAGAAAGTCATCATAGGTGCAACTATGGATGATGAAGATGTAAGGCTGATAAACATTCTATTACATTATGTACACTTATCAGATCAACCACATCATTCACATGTGTGTAGGTCAGCATGAAGAAATTTCTGGATTCACAATAGTTTTAAATGTTATTAAAAATTATAGATTTGCTTTAGTTGAAAGATCAGAATGTATTACAAGGAGTCTATAATTAATCCTAAGCATACAGTGATAAATTATTCTGATTTTAAAATGTGAAATTGTTTAAATAACAAAATTGCAAAAGCTTCAAAGATTTAGAAAGATATAATTTTCTGTATACTACCTGTATACCAGAACTTATTTCCTGTTTGCAGTGGGTAAATTAAAGGACTTAAATTTATATGTGATTAGTTGAAGCTTAATACGTATTTGACTGTAATAATAATTATTTGGATTTTTCACTGTTAAAGATATATACAGAGTGATCAGTGTGGCTAATATTATGTGTGACCTCTAGTCAGTACTGTAGCCAAGTTAATGTTTTATGTAACAGCATTAACTTTATGATGAGATTGAGGACTAACTTTATGATGAGATTGAGGACTTAGCAGTGCTTAAATTGACCTAATTGTTAAAATAGATACTCTTAGTAACTAGAAACTGATAATACTGTATATGGCCAAGAATTTAAAGGGCATAGCAAATTTTCCATGTATCATTCATTAAATGTTAACTGTGTGTAATGTATGAATAAGTACAGTGTTTAGTCTGCCATGACTTAGCTAAACTTATATGCACACCTGTTGACACAATTTATATAACTCTGCAGCAGCATACTGCAGTTTATGCCTCAGTCTTTGCTATTTAGTCAACTTGATAGCTCGAGTGATTCATTAATGGTGATTCACTATTAATTATTTGATATCAGTGACTGGCTGACTAAGATTTAATAAAACAATGTAGCGCAATATCAGCACCCAAGTGTTTTGGCATATTTATTCACATTAAATAGGAATAATATTTGTATGTCTGCCTTTACAAATAAACTGACATAGAGCTTGAGCAGTATTACCATTATAAGGTAACAGGGAATTGGCAGGATGAGATATAACAATAAGAAATCAGGCTACATTGAGACCAAAAAAAAAAACAAAGTTCAGTAATTTAGTAGCAGAGGCTAAATAAATTGAGAAATTTGCAAACTGATGAGACATAAAGAAGTAATACTCTGTTGATGCAAAACTTATTCTGTCATTTTCATATTAAACTATAATCTGTATTATGGTAAACATGACAAAACTACAAATTATTTTAAATATAAAGTATATAGAATATGACATACAAACCAAATAAAACATATAGATATGTACTGTATGTGAAAAAATAGGATGTACAAGTTATGAAAACTTAGTGAGCTTTGAAAGCCAGGAGACACTTGCACAACTACATAAGAAATGGAGGACCCTGTCCTGATAAACATGAGGGCATGAGAGACATGATTGTGAGTAGTGAAGGATTTTGGAATTAAGAGAGATGGTAGGAGGTTGTGAAGTTAAATAAATGTGACACTCGTGGACTGTATTAACAACTTCGGGACTAAAGAATACATGATTGTAAACTCTACTTTTAGTTTGCATGAGATATGAACTTTGAGACAAATGGTTTGTGAATTGTAGATGTGAAGAACTTGTCAGCATCTTCAGAATTAAGTATTAGTAGACTGAAGAGGACTGAAAGGGCTTAAGTCTCTTTACATTTAAGTAGTTTGAAGTACAGATAACACCTAAGTAGTACAGTACTCTGTGTGTGTGTTATTGGTAATAATATATTTTCTGTCTCTATGTGCATTGTAGATCCTGAAGTCAGTGTATGCTAGTGCCATAATTACATTTAAGTGGTTGACAATAAGAAATATTTCACTTGAGATGTGTTTATATGTTCCACAAATTGTTGAATCGGTCACTTTGCTAATTTTTATTTATGTGAAGTAAATTAAAGTATCCTCTTTCACTCAGTGTTGTGAATGCAGTAATTTTTGTTTTATGACACTTATACTATTCTGAGGTTATCATAACCCATTCAGATTGTAGCTGAAAAATATTCAATATGAGCAACTCATTTTAATTAAACGTATTGGCGATACCTTTCCAAAATAAGTTTGTAAAGTATATCATTTGATTAACCTGATGTCTCACTTGACTATTATGAAACCATACTCAAGTAACTTGTCCCACTTGCTCATCTTGTACCATTGGAGGAGCTTGGTATTGCAATGGCTCTTATAGTGTCTTTAATAATTTGATGTTTAAAACATTACAGTGTCTGACATAATGATTTATAAGTGTCTCTTGAGTGTCTTGGTGACTCACCTAGATATCTTAAGTGTCTCATTTGAGTAATATGAGGCTTTATATATTTGTGCCTCATGTGAGCAACTTTGTGATATATTTAGATATCTTCATGTCTCATTTGAATAATTTCATATAAGTCCACAACCCTTTATCCGAAATTCTGAAATTGAAAAGTTCTGAAAACTGAAGGTTTTCATGGAGTGTGGAGCATCAGTCATCTCAGTGCTGGGTCACGCCGCCACGTGGCAGCATTGAGAATCATTCTGAACTTCGAAAAATTCTGAAATTTGAAACAATACTGGCCCCAAGGGTTTCGAATAAAGAGATGTGGACCTGTAATTCACTAAGGTGTCATATTGTATCATGTGAGTATTAGGACTACTCACTCTTGCATCTAAATGCCTATTTTGAATAAGCTGGCAGATTTCTTAACTCAAATGTACAATATGGTGTTTCAGCAAATTAAATTGCCATAAATTGTTAGCAAGATTAATTTAAATACTATTATGTAGTATAATTAGCCAAGTAACTTAGTAACTTAAAGGCTCAGCCTGCTTTCTGCCTAATTTATTGACTAAATGATGGTGGAAGGTTCCTTATCATGAAGACATTATTATTGCTAAAATTTTAAGACTTATTATATTCATTCTATGGTAAATTAATTGTGGACAAGGTACAGCAATGAATACCTAGGATCGCAAAAAAAATAAATTTGACAGGTATGCCAGTCATAATTACACAGAAAATTCTCTAATTGTGTTGGGTTATAAATATTTCACATTTCATATACACTGTAAATGTACTGTAATTATATTTTCTTTGTGTAAATTCCTTAGCTCAATAAAATTTTGAAGGCAGATTATATCTGTTGCCTGTCATGTATAGGAGCATAGCTCTGTTCTGGTTATTATACTCCTGAAAAGCCATATCATAGTTTTGTCTTATGTTATGGCCATTATATAATGTCTGATGAATTAGACCATAGTTCTAATCTGTGGTCATTATGCTATGTCTAATGAACTGGTCCATGGCTTTATTCTCTGGCCATTATGCAGCTTCATAAGTCCATAATCATAAGTGTCTAACCATGTTTTGGACACTATGCTATCTCTAGTAAGCCATTTAAGTTATAAAAATTTACAATCTGTACTGCTCATAGTTTATTGGATTGTGTGATATTGACTTGATCTCCTGGTACATATAGGCATTTTTTTTTTAACCAGCCACTAGTAAAATTATATCGAGATCATTTCATGTTGATGGACTGTTTATTCTCTTTGCCAATATTATAAACTTAATAACAGTACTTATAAACCAAATATTTGTTTAATTTCTCCCAAATTTAGGATTGTTTTATGGTGTGAAAGATAATAATTTATAGTCAGAATAAAGAAAATAGATAACAAGAAACAAACAAATTAAAATATTCAGAGATTGTAAACAAGAAGAGATTTCTTTTACATTGTCTCTAAAATGAATATCAGAATTTTTTTTTAATGCCAACTGTCTCCCACCAAGGTGGGGTGACCTAAAAAAGAAGAAACATTCACTGTCTTCAAGTTCCAAAAATACACACACATACATATGCATGCATGTGTCACAAACCTACTGGAGTTCTATGACAAGATAACAGAAGAAAGGAGAGAGAGGATTGGGTAAACTGCATCTTCTTGGACTGTACGAAGGCTTTCGACACAGTACCACACAAGAGACTGGTTAAAAAGCTAAAGGCATGGGTGGAAATAGCAAGGAAGTATTGCAATGGATCAGGGAATACCTGACAGGCAGGAAGCAATGTATGTTGGTATGTGACAAGGTGTTGGAGTGGGTGCACGTGTCGAGTGGAGTTCTACAAGGGTCAGTCCTAGGTCTGGTGCTGTTTTTTGCATGTGAATGACATGACGGAAGGGATAGATTCAGAGGTGTCCATGTTCGCAGATAATGTGAAGCCATTGAGGAGAATACAAGCGGACGAGGATTGTGTAAGCCTACAAGGAGATCTGGACAGGCTTCAAGCCTGGTCTGACAAATAGCTCCTGGAGTTTAACCCCAGCAAATGCAAAGTTGTGAAGCTTGGGGAAGGACAAAGAAGACTACAGACAGAGTACAACCTAGGAGGTCAAAGACTGCAAAAATCAGAGAAAATGATTTTGGGGTGAGCATCATACCATGCACATTTGAGGTGCACACCAACCAGATAACCACTGCAGCATATGGGTGCCTGGTAAACCTATGAATAGTATTTCAACATTTATGTAAGGAGTCATTCACAACATTGTACACAGTGTATGTCAGGCCCATATTTGAGTATTCAGTACCAGTATGGAACCCACACCTGTTAAACACTTAAGGAAATTAAAGGCAGTGTAAAGGTTTGCAACAAGACTAGTCCCGGAGCAAAAGAGCATGTCCTACAAGGAGGTTAAAGGAACTCAACCTGACGACACTGGAGAATGGGAGGGATAGGGGGGACATAACATGTAAAATACTGAGAGGAATTAACAAGGTAGAAAGGGCTAGAATGTTTCAGAGATGGGAGACAACTGGAAGTTAAAACCTCAAATAAGTCTTAGGGATGTTAGGAAGTACTTCATCCTTAGAGTTGTCAGGAAGTTGGCAGGATCCATACATAGCTTTAAGAAGAGGTATGATAAGGTTCTTGGAGAGGGGGGGACCTAGTAGCGATCAGCAAAGTGGTGGGGACAGGAGTTAGAAATCCACCCCTGTAGCCACAAATAGGTAAGTGTACACCCACCCACCCAACTGGCACTACCTTGGAATGACAATGGATAGTCCGAAGACCCAATTGAGGAAAAAAGTCGTTTCCCTTCTGGAGAGAAACTTAACAATTTGCACTAACGCAGTGTATAAAATCACAGCATGGATAAATAGGGTGAATCTGGCAGAGGAAAGCCCTAAAGCTGGAAGAGGAACAATGAAGGAGGCTATTGAAAGGTAATTCAATTCCCTCCAAGAGGAAATGGTGGCAATGTAACAGCGAGGAAAGAGGTTGCAGAACAGGTTAAATGGCCTGATTTAGCAGAAGATTAGATTTAGATTTTGCCACCGAAGTGGCTAGTTTATTGTGCAACCTATACCCCTCCTGTGGACGGTAGCGCATGAGCATATGGATACACAAAAGGCCTAGGAACTGGGCCCCAAAGGGGTTACAGGTGTACTTTGGATTGATATCTACAGTTCACTTACCTGTTACAAGCAAATTTAGGAAATTGGCTTAGTATATCTGGTATCTTATTTTCATTAATAAGATACCTTGACATGTCACATAGGTTATTATACTGTCTATCTCTATATTCCTCAGTAAGTGGATAATTAGCAGAAGACAATGAATAAATGAGGTTCAGAGGGCAGGAGGAGAGGAAGCTCAGGGATTCAGAGAGAACAATGAGAAAAAGTCACTGGCGATGATGCTATGTGAAGACAGGAATGCTAAGAAGGCAAGAGACAGCAAGGAGAAATGGTAAAAAAAAAAAAAAAAAGAGAGAATTCTGGAAGGAGAGGAAGAGGAAGGTCATTGATGACACATGGACTCCAGGAAGCTGAAGGCTGCTCAGGTAAGAGATGAGATGATGAGAAGCATGAGATTGTACTGATCATGGAATATACAGAAGCAAAGTGATTGAGCAAATGACAAGTTTTCAGAGGATTGGGAGGTTCTCCTGCGTCCAAATAGCTCAGGACAGGATCCTGTGCCAAACACCATGCATAATGACCTCGCAACTCTACAGTGGTGCCTACCTAGATCAGAAAAAGCTAAAGGTGTGTGTGAAAATCCGTATAGAGTGGAGAAGAGCAGTATATAGGAGTATCCAATCCTTGGGAACTCTTCCAGATGCAACCTTAACCCTTTTCCTAGCTAGATCCCCTCAAGGGAGGTTCCTTGATGCTGGTGAGGGGCTCTTGATCTAGAGAACTGGATCTGTGCTCCGGTTCCCTGAATTGAGCCTGAATACCTTCCCTCTCACCCACATGCGCTGTATAATCCTATGGATAACAAAAAAGACACGATACTGTGACTGGAACGATACACAAATAACCCGCACATAGAACAGAGGAGCTTATGACGACGTTTCGGCCCGACTTGGACCATTTACAAAGTCCTATGGGTTTAGCCTTCCCCCATGATTATAATAATAATAATCCTAGCTAGATCAACTATGGGCTAGTCCCACCTCTCCAACACCATCACTAACACCTATCCCCCACCTTCCACCTTTCTCCCTACATCCTCCCCACAATCCCCATCCTTGCCCTTAACTCGATCTTTGACCCCTCTTCCCAGTAAGGAGGACCACACCACATTCCCCAGTCTTTCTCACTTCTTTTGCATGAGCATCATGAAGAGGGAGAAAAGTAGATGTAAACCAGTACACAGTAAGGGAAAGTAGTATCAATGTGGTACACTAATAAAGATAATCTATCAAATAAGAGTTATGAGTTGAAAGAAAGAACAAGTGAGGTCATGTCATATACGTATAATAGCTTTTACAGAGGCTAAGTTGATAGAAATGATATCAGATGTTGTATTTCCAGAAGGATACCAAGTGTTTGGGAAAGAAAAAACGGGAAGAGGAGAGTGGCACTATTAAGTAGAAATCAGTGGAGTTTTAAGAGGTGAGAGGAAAAAACAGACTAGAAGAAAATGATTTCCTAGTGGGGTTTACCTGGAGAGGGTTTCGGGGGTCAACGCCCCCACGGCCCGGTCTGAGACCAGGCCTCATGGTGGATCAGGGTCTGATAAACCAGGCTGTTACTGCTGGCCGCACACATGCTGACGTACGAACCACAGCCCGGTTGGTCAAGTACTGACTTAAGGTGCATGTCCAGTGCCTTCTTGAAGACAGCCAGTTAAGATGAGAGCTCAGTAATTCCAGTGATAAGAGACTGAGGCGGGAATATGAGGATAACAGATGACCGATAGATGACATCATAGCAGAAGCAGCCAGGAGTGCATTAAGGGTTAAAATGAAGATACTAATGGTGACATTCCAACCACAAGAAATAGACTGGGAGAACTGGGACCCACATGGGGGGGGCCAGACACAGGGAGGGGTAAGTCGATAGAGGTGACAAAAGAAAACTTTCTGAATCAGCACGTTAAGGGAGAGAGATGATAAGTCAGCGAAAGTAAAGGTAGATGGAAATACAGTAGATGGTGGGCGTGAATAGCTAAACCTTAGAAGGGAAAATTTTGAAGATTGAGAGACTTGTTGAGTGAAGTAGATTGGGACAATGAGTTGGATCTGGATGAGGTGATGGAATAACTAGTTGGAAAATGCAAGGACGACGAGGCAGGGGCGGTCCCAGGATTTTTTTTTACTGAAGGATTTGGAGGGAGGGGGGAGGTTTAGATGGTTGGGCTGGGGATTGGAGGGGCTATGGTGACTTGTGTTTACCTGGAGAGAGTTTCGGGGGGCAACGCCCCGCGGCCCGGTCTGTGACCAGGCCTCATGGTGGATCAGGGCCTGATCAACCAGGCTGTTACTGCTGGCCGCACGCAATCCAACAAACGAACCACAGCCCGGCTGGTCAGGTACTGACTTTAGGTGCCTGTCCAGTGCCTGCTTGAAGACAGCCAGGGGTCTATCGGTAATCCCTCTTATGTATGCGGGGAGGCAGTTGAACAGTCTTGGGCCCCTGACACTTATTGTGTTGTCTCTTAACATGCTAGTGACACCCTTGCTTTTCATTGGGGTTATGTTGCATCGTTTGCCGAGTCTCTTGCTTTCGTAGGGAGTGATTTTCGTGTGCAAGTTTGGTACTAGTCCCTCTAGGATTTTCCAGGTGTATATAATCATGTATCTCTCCCGCCTGCGTTCCAGGGAGTATAGGTTCAGGAACTTCAAGCGCTCCCAGTAACTGAGGTGTTTTATCTCAGTTATGCGCGCCATGGAAGTTCTCCGTACATTTTCTAGGGCAGCAATTTCACCAGCCTTGAAAGGTGCTGTTAGTGTGCAGCAATATTCCAGCCTAGATAGAACAAGTGACCTGAAGAGTGTCAGTCATGGGCTTGGCATCCCTAGTTTTGAAGGTCCTCATTATCCATCCTGTTATTTTTCTAGAAGATGCGACTGATACAATGTTACGGTCCTTGAAGGTGAGATCCTCCGACATGATCACTCCCAGGTCTTTGACGTTAGTTTCTCGCTCTATTGTGTGGCTGGAATTTGTTTTATACTCCTATGAAATTTTAATTTCCTCACGTTTACCATATCGGAGTAATTGAAATTTCTCAACATTGAACTTCATATTGTTTTCTGCAGTCCATTTAAAAAGTTGGTTGACGTCCGTCTGGATCCTTGCAGTGTCTTCAGTGGAGGACACTGTCATGCATCGGTTAATTATGTTGAGCCACGACTTGCTCTTGTGTCAGACTGGAAGCTTGGAGGGCTAAAAAAAAAAAAAGCAGAACGAAGCAATGAGAATCATTCTAGGATGCCCTCGTGCTCCCAAAGTTCCAAATATGCGGAAAGAACTTGATATTCCAAGCATAAGAGATCGTGTCACTGAAAGAAATGCCCTCAATGGGTTAACATGCTCAGGCAAGTCCATTCAAACCCTTGCACAGAAGCCCTCCAAACTTTCCTCAGCACCAGTGAACACTCCTCCAGATGGGTCATAAAATCTGGAATTGACCTCCGTATGAACCAGATATATGATCTATGTTAAGTAATGCAACAGCGACATTTCCCCACTCCATGGAAAATTACCCCATTCCAAACCACTAACCCTCCTTTTCCCGAAAAAAATAAATCACAATCAAAGCTTCACCTTGAAGCCAAGTAGGATGCCTTAAGCTGTAATGATGACTTAGTCGCACAGTACAACCTTTCACAAATTATTTACGTTGATGTTTTTTTCACCAATCCAATGCAACTGTTAGTGCTGCTGTTGCCATACAGTGATGGCTCTTATAAAGAAATTGGAGCAAGCACGCATCAATAACTGGGCCTCTGCCTTATATCATATGCCTTCAAGAGGGGAATAGATTACAATCTTGGGCTGTCAGTTAGCAGTTTGAGAGCAATAATACGAAAATAACTTCAGTGACTTGAGACTGAGGGAGACTGACACCAGTCAGTCCATCTTTCATTATTCTGTCATGAAGGAAGAGCCACATGTCTATGCACAGTACTCGCTCCCATCTTGTTCCTCATCCTCATATCCGACATAGACAAGGATGTCAGCCACAGCACCGTGTCTTCCTTTGCAGATGACACCCGAATCTGCATGACAGTGTCTTCCATTGCAGACACTGCAAGGCTCCAGGCGGACATCAACCAAATCTTTCAGTGGGCTGCAGAAAAAATATGAAGTTCAACGATGAGAAATTTCAATTACTCAGATATGGTAAACACGAGGAAATTAAATCTTCATCAGAGTACAAAACAAATTCTGGCCACAAAATAGAGCGAAACACCAACGTCAAAGACCTGGGAGTGATCATGTCGGAGGATCTCACCTTCAAGGACCATAACATTGTATCAATCGCATCTGCTAGAAAAATGACAGGATGATAATGAGAACCTTCAAAACTAGGGAGGCCAAGCCCAGGTCACTTGTTCTATCTAGGCTGGAATATTGCTGCACACTAACAGCACCTTTCAAGGCAGGTGAAATTGCTGACCTAGAAAATGTACAGAGAACCTTCACGTCGCGCATAACGGAGATAAAACACCTCAATTACTGGGAGCGCTTGAGGTTCCTGAACCTGTATTCCCTGGAACGCAGGCGGGAGATACATGATTATATACACCTGGAAATTCCTAGAGGGACTAGTACCGAACTTGCACACGAAAATCACTCACTACGAAAGCAAAAGACTTGGCAGACGATGCAACATCCCCCCAATGAAAAGCAGGGGTGTCACTAGCACGTTAAGAGACCATACAATAAGTGTCAGGGGCCCGAGACTGTTCAACTGCCTCCCAGCATACATAAGGGGGATTACCAACAGACCCCTGGCAGTCTTCAAGCTGGGACTGGACAAGCACCTAAAGTCGGTTCCTGACCAGCCGGGCTGTGGCTCGTACGTTGGTTTGCGTGCAGCCAACAGTAACAGCCTGGTTGATCAGGCTCTGATCCACCAGGAGGCCTGGTCACAGACCGGGCCGCGGGGGCGTTCACCCCCGGAACTCTCTCCAGGTAAACTCCAGATGGACAATTGTTATTACTGTGTATCAAAATTAATGAATTCAGAGCAACCACCAGAAATGTCAAGTATACGTGGTAATTACCATCCATTCTGAAAAATACCCTGAATATTGATAACTGTAGATATCCAATTACTATCTAACTTTTTTGTGTGTATGTGTGTGTGTGTGTGACCTAATTTATGTCTGCACAAATAACTCATTATTGTGACTGTAACCAGATATAAACATGCAAACAGTTCATTACCACTATAACTTGATCAGCTATCAAAACTTTGCCTCACAGTTCCTGGACCCATTATGTGTCTCGGTAATCTTTTGACTACCTCCCACAGGATGGGTATGGGGTGCATAATGAAGATATTAAACTGGATCGATACCTTGCAAGGTATTGGAGAAACTTATCAGATGGATAGTGACAGAACACCTGGAGAGAAGTGGTTTAATAAATAATAACCAACATGGGTTTAGGGATGGTAGGTCTTGTCATACTAACTTGTTGGAGTTCTGTGACAAAACAGGCGTGCTACAAGAGAGAGAGAGAGAGAAGGAGAGAGAGGAGAGAGAGAGAGAAAGAGGGAGAGAGGAGGAGGAAAAGAAGAGGAGTGAGAAACAGGGAGAGAGAGAGAGAGAGAGAGAGAGAGAGAGAAGAGAAGGGGGGGGGGGGTTGGGGGATTCCATTTTTTTTCGACCGCAAGAAAGCGTTTGATACTGTGCCCCAAAAGAGGCTGGGCTAAAAACTTGAGATGCAGGTAGGAATATTAGGGCACGTACTCCTGTGGATCAAAAAGAGACGTCAGAATGGAGAAGATTAACTAGAGGAGTTCAACAAGGATTGGTATTAGGGTCAGTACTGTTTCTGGTTTTTGTGACAATGACATTTCGGATGGGACTGACCCAGTTATATATATATATATATATATATATATATATATATATATATATATATATATATATATATATATATATATATATATATATATCTGTTTGCTGATAATGTAAAACTAATGAAAAGAATAAAAGAGAAATAAGACAAGGAAAGGCTCCAACAGGATCTTGATAAATTGCAAGATTGGCCAGATAAGTGGCTGCTTGAATTTAACCCAGTAAACGCAAGGTTATGAAGACTGGTGAAAGCCAAAGACCGGAAACGGAAACTAGGGGCAGAGGCCGCAGACTTCAAAGAGAAAGCCCTAAGGGTGAGCGTAGTGTGTCCCCAGAGGTACACGTCAACCGAAAAATCTCTGCAGCCAATACTCGTTTAGCAAATCTAAGAATAGCCTTCAGGAATTTCAACAAGGAGTCATTTTGGACTTTCTACAAAATATGATAGGCCCATCTTGGAGTATACAGCACCAGTAATGTAATTCGTACCTGGAAAAAGCATGTTAAGAAAGTGTAGAAGAATGTAATACGGTTTGTCCCTAAACTCAGGGGCTTGAACGACAGTGAGAAGCTAATAGAATTGACCTAGTGACATTGGAAAAACAGAACCAGTGGGAACATGTTAACAACTTTCAAAATACTCATGGAATTTCTAAGGTAGATAGGGATAGGCTGTTTGAGAAGAGATATACGGGAACTCGGGGATACATTTTGATAGTAAAGCCACAGATGAGCATAGGGATGTTAGGAAGTATTTCTTCAGTCAGAATAATCAGGAAGCGGTGGAGGCCGGCTCCATACATAATTTCAAGAGCAGGTATGTCAAGGACTACGAGGATACGAGGGAGTAAGTTTATTTAGGTACAGGTACATATTAGTACAGTTACACAAATCATCTAACATAGTAGCACGTGTGTAAATTACCAAAGATAATCCAAAAAAAAAAATCAAAGTGGCCAGGATTTAAAAATCGACTCCTGTAACTCCGAATAAGTGAATACAAATAAGTAAGTACAAATAGGTAAGTACAAATAGGTGAGTACAAATTGACGAGTACATAAAAACTCAAATTCAAATGGTTATAATCAAACATAATTTTTAAAGGGGTGAACCGGTAAGCCAGGGAAAGGCCTCAGCCAGATGACCAAAATCTCCAACTGCAGATCATCACATGACTAAAACCCGCATCAGGAAAAACTTGTCCAGTTTCCTGACAAACCTTTAGCTAGAGTACACAGGTACAACAAGGTAGAGTGTACAACAACTCTGCTTTCTTTCACACTTGTTGTCATCCCTCGACAACATTCACCACTCACCGTAATTCGATAATGTTTTGAATTAATTATTTCTCCAATATAATTGCTCGTTGTAATTGTGGGATTTGCATAACAAGCCGCCATAGAAGCTAATATTAATAGTAAGTTCACCGAGATTTTTGGGGTCATATATGAGTTGGGTTGAAGGAAGGAATAAGTGACCTGGTGTCGTGAGCGAGGAAATGGCCACACTTGACCTGCTCTGCCTACTGCTCTGACCTGGTCTGGTCATTACCATAACCTGTTGTGGTTACTACCTAAGCCTGGTCTGGTTTCTGCTATGACTTGGTCTGGTCGTTATCGTAACCTAGTCTGATTGTTCCCATGACCCGGTCAGGTTGTTACCATGACCTAGTCAGGTTATTATGACCTGATCTGGTCGTTACTATGGTCTGGTCAAGTCGTTACTATAACCTGGTCAAATCATTACCTTAACCTGGTTTAGGCTATGCCATAACCTTATCTGGTCTTGTCATTACCATACCCTGGTCATGCTATCATCATAACCTATTCTGGTCATTACCATAACCTATTATAGTCATTACCATAACCTGGTCTGGTCATTACCATAACCAATTCTTTCCATTATCATGACCTGGTTTCGTCATTATTATAACCTGGTCTGATCATTGCCTTTAACTGGTTTTGTCACTACGCCTGGTTGATCAGACCCAGATCCACCATGAGTCCTGGTCTCAGACCGGGTCGCAGGGGCATTGACCCCCAAGCTGTATAGCCCTTGTGGCTTAGCGCTTCTTTTTGATTATAATAATAATAATTGACCCCCAAAACCCTCTCCAGGTAAACCATATTCTGGTCTGGCCTTAACCTTGACTTGCCTTAGCCATAATCTAGTCTGGGTTCAGACAAAATCTGGTTAAGGCTTTGCTATAACCTAATGGCCACAAATTATTTTTTTTTTTTTAAATGGGCTTAAATAAATCAATTAATGTTTTGATTATTGTTTATTTTTCCCAGAACAGAATTATGCTAATCTTTTATAACATTCCATGGGAAAAAGTTAAATGTCATAGAAATTGCTTATTTATTTATTTATTTATTTATTATTTTTGTCTTTACAAACAGTACATTGAGATTTTGTATTTACAATAGTGGGTTGCAGTGCAAAGAGAGCCTCTATTATGCCTAGGCATTATGGGCCAACTTAACATTATTGGCTTACAGGGCTACTTAACACTAAGGATTACGAAGTTGTACACAGTAGGGTAGAATTATTCATAGTTGTTAGTGATTATTAATTATAAGTGAATCTAATTGTTATAGACAAAAGAATATTCATATATTCAAAATGCTTTTCTGAACAATGATTCAATTATATCTGTCAACAATGGATAAAGGTTCAAGTAAATGAATGTTGAAGTTATATGTGGGAGTACATTAGTGGGTATAGTTGTATGAGTGCTTAGCATTTATAAGTGAATTAAATTTAATAAACAAAAAAATATTCTTTAACGTATAAGAAATTTTAGAAAGACAATAATTTTAATAGTTCTTGCCTAATTGATCAAGTTTTACATATTCGCTGACATTATTATTGATATATATAGTATATTTATATATCTATAGATTATTATATATTAATCATATATATATATAATAATATATCTTTAATATATAAATATATTATATATATATTAATATTATAATATATATTTATGTAATTATAGTATATAATATATATATATATATATATATATATATATATATATATATATATATATATATATATATATATATATATTATATATATATATATATATTTATAATATAATATATATATATATATAATATATATATATATATATATATATATATATATATATATATATATATATTATATATATATAATATATATATAATATATATATATATTATATATATTATATATATTATATATATTTATTTATTTATTTATTAATAATAATAGTTATATAGATACCACCTATATAACTGGACTGGGGACCCTCATCCTCAGAGAAAAACAATAAACATACCTCAGGGAAAACTCATGGAGCTGTTGGAATATTTTCTTCTCCTACCCCCATATTTTATTTCACAATACGTACTCTTAAAGCTGGAGAATTTACGTAATAAAAACACACCCAGGCATAAAGTAAACATTGACCAAAGCTTTTAATAAATATTTCTGATGGCTTAATGAGGACAGAAGTCTAATAGTATACGTACTTTATATTCCGTTCTTCTGATCACAGGTTATGTGAATTTGGTATTCTTTGATTTATGTAAATTGTCATTTATTGTTTTATTGAAATATTAGAGAATAAATGTTAGAATCAGTCAGTACTAAATATCAACTGATGGAATGACCTTTACACTTCCTGGTGCCAGGTTGTGACAGAAAGGATATTTGTACAATCATTCATGTGTGAATTGCATGCATAAATTCCCATGTAAGAGTATAAAACATTATTAAAACAACATATTAGTTCAGTTTTAATTTATCAGCTTCATTTATTCATTACAGAGCCAGATAACCATGCTGATGATGTTGCATGAACTTCTTAAAATATACTCTCACAGTATAACACTGAACACAAGAAATACAGACTGCAATTCCCGTATTGATAGTTCCACTTTATTTATGTTTCAATTATTTCTTTATTTCAGGCATCTATGTTGCATCTACACTAGCTCCTTACAAAGCCAGTGATGCTGTTACAAGTGCCTGCGGTGCTTGCAGCACCTCATGTGGGTGGTTACTCAACAGTAATTGCAAATGTTCATACTAGTCTCCAGCTACAAAGTCATCAACAAGAGTTATCAACCTAGAGAAATGCGTTTTTGCTTGAAAAGGGATTTTATATGTACATTTGTATGTGTGTGAAGCAAGATATCATCAGCATGAAATAAAAACTTATCAAATAAAGAATTGATAGTCTATATTTATTATATGGGAGAAAATATATTAATATCATCAGAATAAGAAGTATCATTGTTTGTCACCATTTGGCTCACATCTCTACGTTCCTAGGTTTGAATCCTGGGCAGGGATAGACCCACAGGCACATCATCTTGTGCTCGCTGTCCTGTTCACCTGGCAGTAAAGAGGTAAAGTACCTGAGTGTTACTTGACTGTTGTGAGTATCATCATGCAGTCCATCCTCTTAACCAAATATCAGTATTTTACTATGATTTGAGATCACTGGGGGTTTAATGCTTGGTTATGATTATAATAATAATAATAGAGATTATTGGAAATGCACCTGTAACACTAAAATGTGAATGGCGAATATATTGTCATGCTTTGTCAGTTTACTCAGTGGCTCCTCCCTTCTTTGTTTCATGTGCATAAAAAATAGTTTGTAGATGAATGGTTCAGAGAACCGACATGTTGATAAATTAGACACATGTGCAACTCTTGGGTATCTTTATTGAGGAAACGTTTCGCCACACAGTGGCTTCATCAGTCCATACAAAGGAGAATCTTGAAGAACAGGAGGAGAATGAGGTAATCAGTCCCTCAACCTTGAGTCAATGTGGTCAGTCCATCAATCTATTCAAGATTGATCAATCTATTCAAGATTGATGGACTGACCACATCGACTCAAGGTTGAGGGACTGATTACCTCATTCTCCTCCTGTTCTTCAAGATTCTCCTTTGTATGGACTGATGAAGCCACTGTGTGGCGAAACGTTTCCTCAATAAAGATACCCAAGAATTGCACATGTGTCTAATTTATCAACATAAAAAATAGTCTTGCCGTTGTGCCTTATTTTATTTATTGGTGTTTATGTATATTTTAATTGACATTAACCTAAATATTGTATCTTATGTAGAGAAATTGGCTTAATCATATGAAGTAAAAAAAATAATGTTTATGCTAGGAGGACAGATTGTATCCTAGGAATGGTATACCATACTATACCATAAAGACCCTTCAAGGATGTTGTTTTGATGTTGGTGATGGGTTCTTGATTAAAAAAAAAAAAGAGAGATTTCTGAGGGGGTACAGGCACTTAAAAAAGTTTAAGAACTATTGATCTAACTATACCCAGGTATCTGACAGTATTGTGGTATCTGACAATGTTAGTACCCTGGTATTGTGTGATACTTTATATGTAATACAGTGGACCCCCGGTTAACGATATTTTTTCACTCCAGAAGTATGTTCAGGTGCCAGTACTGACCGAATTTGTTCCCATAAGAAATATTGTGAAGTAGATTAGTCCATTTCAGACCCCCAAACATACACGTACAAACGCACTTACATAAATACACTTACATAATTGGTCACATTCGGAGGTAATCGTTATGCGGGGGTCCACTGTACTTGATAAATAATGCTAATATTAATAATAGTATTACTTATATGTACAGCTTGTGTAAGAATTGTGAAGCATTGATATGCTGTATTAAATTTTATTTGTAATGTGTTCACATTATAAAATATAATACTTTAGTCATTAGAGAATAGTACAAAGCAAGTAATTTTGTTTGAAGTACATAGTAATGTGTTTTTAAATAATATCCACTGTTTTAGAAATTTTCTTAGATATGCACTTCTTATATTCCCTTTGATCATTGAACCCTTATAGATCATATACAGCCTGTGGAATCAGATCTCATCCCAGATAGGTATAGTTGTTCAGACACAGACAGTTTATTACCTACACTCATCCATACTGCCCAGCACTCAACATATGTTACTGAAGACAATCGAATATGGATTCGAGTTGATGAAAGTTGTGTCATCTATGAACAGAACTGGTTTCAGTTCCTGGGAGGGCATTACATAGGTTATTGATGTTACATGGATGAATGGAGACAAATGGTTTTTAATACTTGACGTGCTGTTGGAGTGTGAGCAAAGTAACATTTATGAAGGGATTCAGGGAAACCGGCAGGCCGGACTTGAGTCCTGGAGATGGGAAGTACAGTGCCTGCACTCTGAAGGAGGGGTGTTAATGTTGCAGTTTAAAAACTGTAGTGTAAAGCACCCTTCTGGCAAGACAGTGATGGAGTGAATGATGGTGAAAGTTTCTCTCTTTTTGGACCACCCTGCGGTGGGAATCGGCCAGTGTGTTAATAAAAAAAAAATAAATAAATAAAAATGTTGTCTGCCGATAGGTTATGACTTTATGTACACTATGTGAAAGAATGGCTTCTGATTCTAGAATGTTCTAGTTTAAGTAGCAGGATGCTTTGATCTACTGTATCAGAAGCTTTTCTTAACTTAATAAAGTGACTCATTGAATAGCTTCTATTTTCAAGAGGGAAATAGAGGGAGTCAAGTATTTTTATTTTTGCATAATTGGTACTTTTCCTGGACTGAAACTTAACTGGCAGGGTTAAGAATATCATGTAGTTGTTGATTTCTGTCGGGTTTCTACTTTTGTGGATTAACCCTTTGGGGGTTTCGGACGTACTAGTATGTCTTATGACCCAGGGTTTTTGATGTATTAGTATGCCTAAATTCTAGTGCCCTCAAATCTAGTGAGAGAAAGCTGTTAGGCCTACATATGAAAGAATGGGTTTATGTGGTCAGTGTGCACAGTATTAAAAAAATCCTGCAGCACACAGTGTGTTATGAGAAAAAAAAAAACCTGACCGTGTTTTTGGATTAAAACAGCAACTTTGCACTGTATTTTCGTATGGTATTTATTGTTGTATTCTAGTTTTCTTGGTCTCGTTTTATAGAATGTTACAGAAATTGAGATGCTTTTGACTGGTTTTACAATGAAAAGTACCTTGAAATTGAGCTCAAAGTAGCAGAAATGTTCAATTTTTTCCAAAGTTCAAAAGTAAACAAATCATGCCAAGCGTACAATACACATCAAGTGGTGAGTCTAATATTCTTTCACAAGTGTGCTGATATTATTTATACCATTTCTACACTAATGCATTAGTCTGCATAAGAGTAAATCTTATTTTTTTTTGTAAGAAAAATTCAAAGTGGAAAGGCAAAGAAATATAAGAGGGGCCTGGGGATCTGACTAACAAACAGAGAACTTGTTATTTTAGTGCCAGGAATGTCTTTCTTGTTTATTCTGGACCCTATTTGGAAATTGGCATCTTTTGAAATTTGTGTGAAATTGGCAAAATTGCTAAATTCTGACCACTTTATTGGATAGTCGAAATCGGTAAATGGGTGGTTTTTTGTACTCATTCGATAGAAAAAATGGAGTTCTAGAGAATTAGTTATGATTTTTGTCAACTAGTACACTGGAATTGGCCGAAAATAGGGCTCAAAGTTGGCAAAATCGCCGATGCGTAAATATCGTCGAGACCGCTAACTTCGTGAGAGAATAATTCCGTAAGTTTTCCATCAAATTTCATACTTTTGTGTCATTATCGGGAAAAGATTCTCTATCTTTTCATAAGATTTTTTTTTTAAATTTGGCTGACCCTGATAACAAGTCTCTGAGAGGACCTGTCGACCCTCAAAGGGTTAACATAATCCTTGCTTTTCCTTGTTTGAGAAAGTTTTGGTTTCTATGGACTTGTTGAATACTGCTGTAATGGTAGGTGACAGCACATGATCAGCTGTTTATAATATATGAATGATGGTATATTAGCATTGTTTACTGCTTTGTTTTTTAGTAAATTTGTTACTGAAGTTATCCCTGTAGAATTAGTAGATTATTGGCATAGAGCATTTGGGTAATTGTCAGTGAGGCAATCATTAACTTTGGTATAGGAGTTTGGGATTTTGCTGGCTGGGGTGTGATTCTATAATTGAAGTTAATTAGGTTGGTTATTGATGGTATTAGAGCATTAATTGATTATACACATTAAGGATATGTGTACCAGCAATTTATGGGTCCTCTGATTAAATAGGCTTGACGTACATGACTAGGTCTTTAAGATTATCCCCAAGGTTATCTCTGTTTGTATTGATCTGTGGGTAGCTCCAATTGTGATGGGAATCATTAAGTTTTTGGTTGTAAATTGTGCAAAAATTTATTCCTTGACTTTATCCCTGGCACAATACATGTTTAGTTAATACATTTCAACTTACTGGTCTAGTAAATTGCTGTTCCATCTTTTTTGGTCAGATCTACAATTACAGTATGTATGATTATGTATCCAGTTATAAATGTCTATAGTATTATGATTTAGTCATGTTTCTGTGACAGTACTGAAAGCTGGGTTTACAGTTAGTAACTTGATGAGTGTATAGATGTTATCATAGTGTTTACTTAGGAATCTGTCATTGTAGTTAAATTCAGTACAGTTTAGATCAGATTAGCGTTTTTATTTTGACAAATTACATGGTTGTACAGAGGAATATAATAGTTGGGTGTACATGCCAAAAGCCCCTCTATATGCTGAGCATTTCGGGCAAACTTAAAGATTAACGTAAGAATAGTAAGGCAATAATAAATAGTTCATATGGTCATTAGATGAGTTAGAGTGAGTACCGGAGAATTTAATATTATGTCAGGTGATGCTACATAGTTTTGATAAGTCTAGTAGAGACTTATCAAAACCATGTAGCATCACCTGACATAATGATGTACTGTATTACAATCTACTACTATTTAAAATAGTGAAAAGAACAGACATCCTAATTTCAAAGTAGTAAGTGGTTAAGCATTCATCAGCACAATATGAGTAGCTTTTGAGAAACTGGTAGTGGTTAGGTATGGTTTGTCTGGTTAATTTTGGGTGATGAGGTGATTTCTTATTTGGGCCTTAAACTGATTTGCAGAGAGGGGTCCTTTAGTTTGTTCTGGCAATGAATTCCAGATCTTCGAGCCTTTTACGTGCATAGCATTTTTTCATTGGGAGGGATGAACACGGGGAATATCGAAGAGTGATCTGTGTTTCGTATTTTGGTTGTGTTCTGTTATAGTCATCAAGGAGGAGTTTGAGAGGAAGGTTTACATTAGAGTATAGCATTCTCTCTATGTAGTAGGCACAATAATAAGTGGGGATGTTTTGTATATTTAGTAGGTTAAGACTCTTGAAAAGTGGTGGAGTGTGTTGTCTAATGCAGGAGTTAGTAATCAGTCACACTGCAGATTTTTACTGGGTTATTAAAGGCTTAAGGTGATTTGCTGTGGTTGAGCCCCCATGCACAATTGCCATAGGTGAGGTAAGGGTAAATGAGAGAGTGGTACAAAGCTAGAAGAGCTGATTGGGGTACATAGTACCGTATCTTTGAAAGGATGCCTACTGTTTTGGAGACTTTCTTGGAAATTTGCTGTACGTGTGCCTGAAATTTGAGACTGCAGTCAAGGTGGAGACCTAGAAATTTGCCCTCTGCCTGTCTCGAGATAGGTGAACAATTTATCAATATGTTTAGCTGTACATTTGAAGCTCTGTTTCCGAAAAGCATGAAGTAGGTTTTGTCAATATTGAGAGTAAGTTTGTTGGTAATCATCCAAGTAGATATTTTTAGCAGTTCAGCATTTACTGCATCTGTTAGTATGTTTGGGTTTGGGTAAGAAAAGGCATAAGTTGTGTCATCTGCAAATAAAATGGGTTTAAGGAGATTAGATGTGTTTGGTAGGTCATTGATGTAAATGAGAAAGAGAAGTGGGCCAAGAACGCTCCCCAATGGCACTCCAACAAGAACAGGTTGTGTAGTTAACAGGCTCCATTTGTGTATACATACTGGATTCTATTGTTAAGATAAGATTTTAGGTAATCAAGAGTGTCCTCTTACCCCGTAATGTTCAAGTTTTTGGTGCAAAAGATCATGGTCAACTGTATCAAAAGCTTTTCGTAAGTCTATGAACAGTCCCAGGGGAAATTAATTTTTCTTGAGTGCAGAGTATATTAGTTCAAGCATATGTATAATAGCATCATTAGTACTTTTTTTCAGTCTGAACCCAAACTGACAAGGGTTGAGTATGTTGTGGGATACGAAGTAGGAGTAGACTTGTGTATTAATTTTTTGAAGATTTTAGATAGTAGGGGCAGGTTTGATATAGGCCTATAATTGTTCAATTTAGTTGTATCACCTCCTTTGAGGATTGGGGTGACTTGCTGTCTTGAGTATGGATGGGAAGGTAGAAGATTCAATGGATTTGTTAAAAAGAGTTTCAATAACTGGTGACAACACATTAGAAGCTTTTTTTATACATGAGTAGTGGTAAGTTATTTAGGTCCCCTGTCTTGTTCTTTAGTGCTTTGATGATAAGTGAGATTTCAGTTGGGTTTGTTGGGGCTAAAAATAGAGTATCAGGGTAGTTGCCAGTGAGGTAGTCTTTTGGTTGAATGTTTGAGCTTGGGATTTTACTTGCTAGTTTTGTTCCTACGGTAGAGAAAAAGACATTAAGTTTGTTAGCAGTATAATTTGGCTGTAGGAGAGGTTCCTCTGGTTTAGTTAAGTTAATCAATCTGTTTTGTGACAGCTTTTTTGTTTCTAGAATTTCAGAAAAGGTTTTCCAGGTCTTTTTCATATCACCTTGTATGCCATGAAATCTGTTTTCATAATACCATTTTTTTTTACCTTATTAGATTGGGTAATATTGATGAGTAACGTTTTGTGAGATCCTTTGATGTTAGATCCATTCTGTACTGTTTTTCATATAGATTTTTTATCAATAGATTTTAGGATGCTGTTTGTAAGCCAGGGGCTTAGTTTCTTTGCTGTGATCTGCTTAGTTTTTATTGGGCAATGCGTGTTATAGAGGTTTTGGGTTTTTTTTGTAAAAAAAAATATTAATACAGTCATCAATATCGAAGTTGTTCTTATGTTGCTAAAGATAATTTTTCTGTGGCTAGTTGTATAATACAGTGGACCCCCGCTTAACGATCACCTCCCAATGCGACCACTTATGTAAGTGTATTTATGTAAGTGCGTTTGTACGTGTATGTTTGGGGGTCTGAAATGGACTAATCTACTTCACAATATTCCTTATGGGAACAAATTCGGTCAGTACTGGCACCTGAACATACTTCTGGAATGAAAAAATATCGTTAAACGGGGGTCCACTGTATTTACATTTTAATTATTACAGAGATCAGCAAATTACAAACATTTCTGCTTATTGGGACTTGGTACAGTAGCATAAAAAAAAAAGCAGAGCTAAATGACTTGTACAGGTATAGCACATTTTGCAAACATAATAATATAACTTTAATGTTAATGAATTTCAGTAGTTGACATGATCAAGGCAGCGATGGAGCAGCAGTACAAGGAAAAACGGAGAGGAAGCAACATGTGTCTTGTGTGTGGTCGGCAGGGTGGTAACACTATTGTTGTTACCAGTGTCCATAGTTTTGTGTCTGCATCAGGAACACCTCTGGCTGATTTTCTTGTTAAGGTACAATATTTTATTTTTTTTTACCATTTCACTGGTTTAGTTACTGGAAAGTCTCAGTACAAAACAGCAAAAATCATTGTAAAGCCTCAGTCATAAAGATCCACTTCATCAAGACCACATGGATCTTAATACTGAAACCAAATTACTATACTTCTTTTCAGTATTTCAAGCAGCATAGCCTGTTTTATTTACTTTCTGTGGAGCACTACAAATCTGGAATTGTTGGCCCTGATACCTTAACTGGAGAAATTTTCCTCATTTATGGAGGTTTTATTAAGTAAAGCACAAACTCTATACTGTATGTACATCAATTATAGGGAAGTTTAGTGGTGAGAAAGATTGTATATATATATGACTTGCAAATCCTTTAAGCAGCTTAGTGAATGGCTGGGAGTTCCTGTTTTTGGCTACTGTTTAATCTTTTCTTCAATAAACATGTGGCAAGTTCAAGAAATCTTGTTCCAGATTTCTGAATGTCTAATTAAACCATTGATTCATTTATTTATAAACCAGTATAATTGCAAGCTTTCTTTCTGCAGCTCATGCATAATTACTGATAAAGGAGGGCCCCACTTTATGGTACTTTATTACGGCATCTGCGTACCACTGTTTGTTTACATCCTCCATGAGCTCCGCATCTCTCATGATTATGTCTGGAAACATTCTAATGTTTCCATTGTTTTAAAGTTATTGCATATTTATATATATCCTGATAATTGTACTTATGTGTACCTGGGTTTAAATACACGTACACTATGAGCGTCTGGGCCGCTCGTACGTTTATGACTCACTCTTGGGCACATTAAATGTCTTATTTTAGGTTAATATAGACATTTTCATTAATCCATCTATGATATTTTCTTCAAAATTATCTAAGAAACATGTTACATAGCATATAAACATGCCTTTGTTACTTGTTCACTCAGAGTGTCCCTCTAGTCTTAATGCCATAGTAATAATAATAGTACATAATAATAATCACTCTTGGGCACATTAAATGTCTTATTTTATGTTAATATAGACATTTTCATTAATCCATCTGTGATATTTTCATCAAAATTATGTAAGAAACACGTTACATTGCATATAAATATGCAATGTTTATATGCGGTGGAGGGTAAACATTATGTTTTCTCTGGTCCAGTATTAGATAAAACTGTGTGAATCTGCATTGGCCCAGTAAGTGCCCTTAATACATAAGCTTTTGTTTACAATTCTTGGTATGAATTATTCATTACTTCTCCCTTTGTTTATGATGGCATCTAAAGGTAGTTGTTAGAAACGATTAAACTCAGTGAACATGGTATGTCGATGGTAACAATATGGCTGTAGGCCTCAATGTATGTAGCCAGTAGGCATACACTGGGATGTAGTCTGCCTGGGATTACAAATAAATACTACTTACCAACAAGAGTCTTCAATAAAGGTATGTAATGTTCATTTATCATTAAATTTAGTCATTTATATTTATTTCTCATTGTTTTCTATATGCAAAACTATAGTTATTCTCTATAAAATGTATTTTTTGTTAATATTTTTGGGTGTCTGAAACAGATTAATTGCATTTACATTATTTCTTATGGGAAATGTTACTTCGGTTTTTGGCCATTTCAGATTTTGGCCAACTCTCTGGAACGGATTAATTCCGAAAACCGGGGGTCTATAATAATAATCGTCTGAGTTGCTTTAAATTTCGTATATTATGTTATTATAGACATTTTCATTAATCCATCTATGACATTTTTTCAGAATTATATAAGAAACATCCTACATATCAAATAAACAAATTATATACAGCTAAATGTTTATACAGTTGTGTACTGTATATTGTAATAAACAGAATAGAGGAAATCAGCTCTAATACACAATACGTATTTAGGTATGCATACTGGTCAGAGAGCCTGTCGTAAGTCCTAGTCGTCGGTAAATGAGTACATCACTAAGTGGAGAGAGGCTGTACAATCACCCTACATTAAAACTACAAATATTTTAACCCTTTCAGGGTTTCGGCCGTACTAGTACGGCTTATTCACCAGGGTTTTTGACGTACTAGTATGCCTAAATTCTAGCGCCCTCAAATCTAGTGAGAGAAAGCTGGTAGGCCTACATATGAAAGAATGGGTCTATGTGGTCAGTGTGCGCTGTATAAAAAAAATCCTGCAGCAAACAGTGTGTAATGAGAAAAAATAAACTTTGAAAGTGATTTTGGATTAAAACATCGACTTTGCACTGTATTTTCATATGGTATTTATTGTTATATTCTAGTTTTCCTGGTTTCATTTTATAGAATGGAAGACATATTACAGAAATTGAGATGATTTTGACTGGTTTTACAAAGAAAAGTACCTTGAAATTGAGCTCAAAGTAGCAGAAATGTTCGATTTTTACCAAAGTTCAAAAGTAAACAAATCATGCTATGCTTCCAATACACGTCAACTGGTGAGTTTAATATTCTTTCACAAGTGCGCTGATATTATTTATACCATTTCTACACTAATGCAGTAGTCTGCATAACAGTAAATCTTCTATTTATTTGTGAGAATAAAAATTCAAAGTGGAAAGCAAAAGAATGCAAGAGGGGCATGGGGACATGACTAATGAACAGAGGAAATGTTATTTTAGTGCCAGGAATGTCTTTCTTGTTTATTCTGGACCTTATTCAGAAATTTTCATCTTTTGAAATTTGTGTGAAATTGGCAAAATTGCTAAATTCTGACCACTGTGTTGGATAGTTGAAATCAGTAAATGGGTGGTTTCTTGTACTCATTCGACAGAAAAAATGGAGTTCTAGCGAAATAGTTATGATTTTGGTCGACAAGTACATTGGAATTGGCTGAAAATAGAGCTCAAAATGGGCAAAATCGCCGATGCGTAAACATCATCGAGACTGTTAACTTTGCGAGAGCATAATTCCGTAAGTTTTCCATCAAATTTCATACTTTTGGTGTCATTATGATCAGGAAAAGATTCTCTTATCTTTTCAAAAGAAAAAAATAATTTTTTTTTTTTTTTTTTTAAATTTGGCTGACCCTGAGAACAAGTCTCTGAGTGTAAACATGTTATCTGACATTTATATGCATTTAACCCTTAAACGGTCCAAACGTATATATACATGTACGTTCTTACGCGTAGCACCCAAACGTATATATACATTTTATTTTTCCTGCCTTCAAATTTGGCACGATTGGCCTGAGATGCCTTGTCAGCATAGAATGGGTCCTAACATTCAGTGTGCGCAGTATTAAAAAAATCTGGAACCACTTAGTACCTTGTGGGAACGCCAGTTAAATTGAGCGCCAGCTAGATCAAACAGTGCGGCAAACACCAAGAATTCACTGATGTAATGTCATATTAACACTCCTCTTTTAAAAGGAATGTGATGTTAACCCCAAGTTTAGGGTCTGTCTATCTCTATCTTCCTCTGTCTATCTGGCTATATCTGTCTATCTCTGTCTGTCTGTCTACGTCTGTCTCAGTCTACCTCTATCTATCTGTGTCTGTCTCTGTCTCTATCTGTCTTGGCTGTCTCTGTATCTCTTTCAATCTGTCTCTCTTTCTATCTGTCTGTCTATCTCTGTCTCACAGGTACACATAAATAAGTATACATAGTGTAAATTACCTAGGATAGCCCAAAAAATCCAGACAAAGTGCTATACTCTGGTTGAAGATGTGAGTAAACGTGATGATGATGCAGTCTTGTGGCTCTCTCTGAGACAGAGAGCTAGACAGATAGACAGGGAGCTTGACAGACAGACAAATAGACAGACAGACATGTCTGTGTACCAGCCAAAACAAAGTGAGGGCGATGCTCATCAAATATCACCTCTAATCTTTTCTTATCAGCTGCACCCTCCCCCGCCCTAGTGTATGCTCATCAAAGGTCAGCTCTTATCAGTTGTTATCTCATCTTATCATGTCACTGTCAGGGGTGGACTTTGTTTTTCATGCTTCAAGGGAACTTCTTATTACCTATTATTATTATTATTATTACATATTATTATTATTATCCTCCTCCTCCTCCTCCCTCCTCCTCCTCCCTTCTCCTCCCCTCCCTTTCTCCCCTCCTCCCTCCTCCTCCTCCTCCCTCCCCTCCTCCCTCCTCCTCCTCCTCCTCCCTCCTCCTCCTCCCTCCCCCTCCTCCTCCTCCTCCTCCTCCCTCCTCCTCCTCCCTCCTCCCTCCTTTCCCCCCCTCCTCCTCCTCCCTCCCCCCCTCCCCTCCCTCCCTCCCTCCTCCTCCCTCCTCCCTCCTCCTCCCTCCTCCTCCCTCCTCCTCCTCCTCCTCCTCCTCCCTCCTCCTCCCCCCTCCCCTCCTCCCCTTCCTCCTCCTCCCCCCCTCCTCCCCCTCCTCCCTCCTCCTCCCCCCTCCCCCTCCTCCCCCTCCTCCTCCCCTCCTCCTCCTCCTCCTTCCTCCCTCTTCCCCCTCCCTCTTCCTCCTCCCTCTTCCCCTTCCCTCTTCCTCCTCCCTCTTCCTCCTCCCTCTTCCTCCCCTCTTTTCCCCCTCCCTCTTCTCCTCCCCTTCCTCCCTCCTCTCTCCTCCCTCTTCCTCCTCCCTTTCCTCCTCCCTCTTCCTCCCTCTTCCTCCTCCCTCTTCCCCCTCCCCCTCCTCCTCCTCCTTCCTCCTTTTCCTCCTTCCTCCCTCCCTCCCTCCTCCCTCCCTCCTCCTCCTCCTCCTCCTCCTCCTCCTCACCCTCCTCCTCACCCTCCCCCCTCACCCTCCTCCTCACCCTCCTCCTTCTCCTCCTCCTCCCTCTTCCCCCTCCTCCCTCCCTCTTCCCCCCTCCTCCTCCCTCCTCCTCCTCCCTCCTCCTCCTCCCTCCTCCTCCTCCCTCCTCCTCCTCCCCCTCCTCCCTCCTTTCCTCCCACTTCCTCCTCTTCCCTCTTCCTCCTCTTCCCTCTTCCTCCTCCTCCCTCCTCCTCCTCCTCCTCCCTCCTCCTCCTCCTCCCTCCTCCTCCTTCCTCCTCCTCCTCCTCCTCCTACTCCTCCTCCTACTCCTCCTCCTCCTCCCTCCTCCTCCTCCCTCTCCTCCTCCCTCCTCCTCCTCCCTCCTCCTCCTCCCTCCTCCTCCCTCCTCCTCCTCCCTCCTCCTCCTCCTCCCTCCTCCTCCTCCCTCCTCCTCCTCCCCTCCTCCCTCCTCCTCCTCCTCCTCCCTCCCCCTCCTTCTCCTCCCCTCCTCCTCCCTCCTCCTCCTCCCTCCTCCTCCCTCCTCCTCCTCCCTCCTCCTCCTCCTCCTCTCCTCCTCCTCCTCCTCCTCCTCCTCTTCCTCCCCTTCTCCTCCTCCCTCCCTCTCCTCCTCCTCCTCCTCCTCCTCTTCCTCCTCCTACTACTACTACTACTTCCACATATCCAAAACATTCCTGGGACATATAAATACTTTGTAGATATTCCAAGACAATAGTAAATAGCTAAGGCAGGTGTAAATGTCCACCTGTTAGTGTGTTTGTGACAATTTGAGTACAATTTCAGTACCTAATACTAGTGTCAGAACAAAGATTGGTTATAAAATGACAAGAACTACTACAAATTGTAATTATCAGAACATAAAAATTACATAAAATAATATGAAAAATAGAAAAAAAGGTATATTGGCAACACTTCTGCAAGCCGCAGGCCTCGATGTTGCTGTCACATGAGCATCCAGTGCCAACTTCTTGGCCTCATATCTCGGTAAGTACTGACCCTAAAATTTTTTTTTAATTCTAAAATACTTAAAAAATGTGCTCTTTTCTTTTTCTATAAAAAAAACGATTTTTTTTTTTAAATATTCAGGGCGCTGCGTGAATGAACGTATATATACGTTTGAACTGTTTAAGGGTTAAAAGTAAAAAAGGGTGAGTCACATTATGGTGATTTTCTCTTTAAGGTGGTAGCCTGAAACCTAACCTGCCGTATAGGTGGGGGCTCCCTGGATAATAAATATTTTCTGCAGGTTGTGGGTGAAGACCCATGCTACTCAGTTAGTGAAGTCATTTGTCAGCAGTGTTTTGTTCTTCTTGACCGCCTAGATGCCTATCAAGCCCGTGCTGCAGAAATCCATACACATGTGACATCTAGGTAAGTTGTAAGCTGAACTTTTGTTTTATACCATATGTAAAATTTTTTGATGTACTTTTTTTTTCAACACAATGGCTGTCTCCCACAAGGTAGTACAGTATCTGTCAGTAGAGTTATATAGTGCATACATTCTGAAGTATAAGTGGAAATGTTGCAATTTGGTGGATCATTAGAATTATGTGTGGGCTCTTCTGGAAAGAGAACTTGAGAATAAGAAATGGTGATGGTCTTTTTCTTTTTTTATGGCACCCCAAACTTAGTGGGAATTACTTGATTTGTTTAAAAATGTTGATTTTTTTATTAAATTGCTGTACAAATTTAAGTTTTGTTAATTTTGATGTGGGTAGGGGTTGTCCTAGGAAAGGATGGAGGGTAGGGGTAAAAGAGGTTTTGTTTGCAAGGGGCTTGGACATACAGTAGGCATGTGTGAGCGTGTTATCTTGGAGTGAGTGGAGTCGAATGATTTTTGGAACTTGATGAGATGTTGGAGTGTGAGGAGGATAATATTTCATGAAGGGATTCAGGGAAACCAATTAGCCAGACTTGAGTCCTGGAGGTGCGAAGTACAATGCCTGCTCTTTAAAAGAGGGGTTTGGGATAGTCGCTGTTTGGAGTGACATCTGAACTATTATATCTGAGCGCCTCTGCAAAGACTGATTATGTGTGAATGATGGTGAAAGCATTTCTTTTTTTGTCACCCTGCTTTGGTGGGAAACGGCTAGCATGTTAAAAAAAGAATTAGTTATTAAATAAACTTTACTGGTATGTACGTATTTAGATTTTTTCTGAGTGGTTACTGGTGTAATTATTAAGACATGCCACAGTATTTTATAGCTTGAAATTTATTTTTTATTGCGCTAGCCATATCCCACCAAGGTAAGGTAATCTAAGATGGTGATTTTGTGTACAAATATATTTTTTAAAGTTGTTAAACTGTAATTGATAATACTGTACATATACATGTATTTTCTTTCCATTCACCATAAATGTTGCAACAAATTATCCTTCAGATACCGGGACACAAAACTGGAGTTAATGGGGCAGCGGCAGAGAATGAGTGAACTAATAGCATCATCTCTGTCCAATGTGCAGGAGCTGCGACATGGGACCACACTAAGTAAGCTCTTTAGCCTTACAAGGATACTTTCTTCACTCGCACGCACCCATCATTCACTCACATGCACCCATTGTTCATTCACATGCACCCATCATTCACTCACATGCACTCATCATGTCTGTACACCAGGGACACTTATTAACATTTAAAACCACCTACTGTACAATATCAGGAAAGTAAACTATGGTTTTGACTTGTATTATTAAAATGTCTTCCTTTTATGTAAAATAGTAGTAAAAAGGCCTTAGTTTACTTATTAATGTTCTACTTGTGTTTGGAATGACTGAGAAATTATATTTTGAGTTAATTCCCTATTAAGGAAAATGTATTAAAATTTTGTCATAAAATTTATCCAGTCTAGAAGCAGCATTTTTTTTTTTTTTTGTGCAGTAGCCACCCAGAAAAGTACTACTGTTTTGTCACATACTGCAAGTGAGGTAAGGGTAGATTAGAGAGTACAGCTAGCCCTCCACCTTCACAAGTTTCACTTTCACGAGCTTTGAACATTGATGAATGCCCAGCCGCCCAATCATATTTACCAAACAAATGCGAGAAAAAAGTATGGGAAAATGTTTCCTGCCATGTCCCTACTACCCTCCTCCTTACCCCCTCAACTGGCAGCCCACCAGTCTGCCACTCACTCAGTCATTGTCTAGTTACTGTTCGCATCGGTCATGCCCAGTTACTGTTCGTGTCCTACCGTACACATGTTTGTGTGGTTGTGTAAGTATGGTCCCCAAGTGAGCAGCAACCGCTATTAAAGAACCAGCCCCTAAGTGCTCAAAGAAAGTCATGAATCTGGAGGAGAAAGTGAAATTGCTAGACAAATGTAGGGCAGGTTATTTGAGCATCAAAACATTCACGAATGCTACAGTACAGTACAGTGGAACCTCAAATATCAAACTTTCTTTGGTCCAGAAGGCTGTTCGAGTGCCTTTACCGAATGAACTTATTCCCATGAGGAATACTGTAAATTAGGTTAATCCAATTCAGACCCTCAAAAATACACTTATAAAAGCACTTACAAAAATACACTTACATAATTGGTTGTGTTGGCAGCAGTTCGATTTTTGAGGTTCCACTGTATTATTATATTTCCCTACATCATATTTGCACACCAAATGTTCGTGAATTTTCAAGATTCGCGAGGTTCTTGATCCCCTAACCCTCGTGAATGTGGAGGGCCTTCTGTAGTACATAGTGAGTAATATTGTTTGAGGTACACAGTAAATTTTTTTTTTTCAACAAGTCGGCCATCTCCCACCGAGGCAGGGTGACCCAAAAAGAAAATACGTACTTTCATCATCATTGAACACTTTCACCTCACTCGTACATAATCACTGTCTTTGCAGAGGTGCCCAGATACAGCAGTTTAGAAGAATATATAAAGATATATATAACATACTCCTCCAAACTGCCAATATAGCAAACCCCTCCTTGAAAGCGCAGGCATTGTACTTCCCATTTCCAGTACTCAAGGCCAGCTATATAAAAATAACCAGTTTCCCTGAATCCCTTCACTAAATACTACCCTGCTCACACTCCAACAGCTTGAAAAATTTATTAGATATCTTTTTTGGATGTGAGTGTTGAATTTTAGTTTTCTGTCAAAGTATTAGTATCTAAGAATTTTCCCCTCATCTTATGTTATAATGCTTGTACAGTATTAGATAATTTTATGTTCAATTGAATATTTTTAATTTTATTCTCATACACCATGTTTTTTTTTGTTTTTTTTTTTACATGTTGGCCGTCTCCCACCGAGGCAGGGTGACCCAAAAAGAAAGAAAATCCCCAAAAAGAAAATACTTTCATCATCATTCAACTCTTTCACCTCACTCACACATAATCACTGTTTTTGCAGAGGTGCTCAGAACACAACAGCTTAGAAGCATATATGTATAAAGATACACAACATATCCCTCCAAACTGCTAATATCCCGAACCCCTCCTTTAGAGTGCAGGCATTGTACTTCCCATTTCCAGGACTCAAGTCCGGCTATATAAAAATAACCAGTTTCCCTGAATCCCTTCACTAAATATTACCTTGCTCACACTCCAACAGATCGTCAGGTCCCAAATACCATTCGTCTCCATTCACTCCTATCGACCACGCTCATGCACGCCTGCTGGAAGTCCAAGCCCCTCGCCCACAAAACTTCCCTTACCCCTTCCTTCCAATCTTTTCAAGGACGACCCATACCCCGCCTTCCTTCCCCTACAGATTTAAATGCTCTCCATGTCATTCTACTTTGATCCATTCTCTCTAAATGACCAAACTACCTCAACAACCCCTCTTCAGCCCTCTGACTAATACTTCTATTAACTCTACACCTTCTCCTAATTTCCACACTCTGAATTTTCTGCATAATATTTACACCACACATTGCCCTTAGACAAGACATCTCCACTGCCTCCAACCGCCTCCCTGCTGCTGCATTCACAATTCAAGCTTCACACCCATATAAGAGTGTTGATACTACTATACTTTCATACATTCCCTTCTTTGCCTCCATAGATAATGTTTTATGTCTCCACATATACCTCAGTGCACCACTCACCTTTTTTCCATCATCAATTCTATGATTAACCTCATCTATGTAGGTTTTCTTAATGTTGAGTGTGAATTTATTGGTTGTCATCCAGTTTGACATCTTTATGCAAGTTTATCAAAAAATAGTGTTAAGGACAACTTGATCTGTATTTTTGATGACAAAAGTTATGTCATCTGCCATGAAAACTGGTTTAAGTTCCTGGGAGGCATTAGGTAGGTCACTGATGTAGAAGAGAAATAGAAAACCTAGGATGATGCCCTATAGCACCCCATGTTGATAGGTTGAGAATGGGAAGTAGTGTCATTAATGGTCAGATATTCATGTCTGTCATAAAGGTAGGGCTTTATGTATGTGACCTTATCGCCTCTGATACCATAAAATATTGGTTACCTTGATAAAGCTTTCCCTTGAGTAAAACGTTGTGAATGAAGTATGGCTTAACCAACAAGTGGTAAAAAAGACCATACTAATAGAGGTTTCCTTTTGGTGTATGAATCTTTTTACCGTGAAATATTATTATAATAAAGGATTACCTTGTGTCTTTTCAATCTCTAAGGTACTTATGTTAGCAGTATTAATCATCACTAGAATGTGCTTTTTCATAATTTACTGTGTATTGTAATTTCATCTACAGATGTGAGTGATGAGCTGACTATTACAGTTGTTCATGAGGCATTACCAAGGAAAAGAAGAAAATACTACAGATTTGACAATAGTACAACCACTAAATCAACACCTAGTGTTTATGGTGCAAATAATATTTATAGTACAAGGAATGATGCTATTAACCAATACATTTCCAAAAAAATCAAAAGAAAGAGAGTGCCTGAAATTACTAGTGATGTGTATTTTTCTACAGACAAAAAGAAAAAGTTAATTGGAAGTGGAAATGTGTCTGTAAGCAATAATAACAATATTACATATGCAAATTGTGTTAAAAGTTGGGTGACCTCTGAAGGGACTGCTCAGTGTGGGGTAGAAAGAACAATAAAAAAGAAATCTGCAGACTCTGAAGCAGACATGAGAAACAGTAGTGCTGATGAGGAGGAACTCAGTGATGACACTAGCCAGGGCAAACATGTGCAGAAGATAGTTAATGAAGATGAGGGAGAAGAGGATGATGATGAAGATGCTGAAGAAGAGGAAGAGGATAATGATAATGATGAGGATGATGATCAAGAAGAAGAAGAACCTTCAGAAATTGCAGAAAATAATGATGAAGTGGACAAGGAACAAGAGGAAGAATCAAGCGATGATGATTCCAGCAGTGACAGTGATCAGGATGACAGCTCTGCTTCAGAGCAAGAAGATGATGCTAATAGTGAAGTACAGTCCTGGACAGGAATGGAACAAGAGCAAGAAAATGAGAATGAGGAGGAAGATGAGGAAGAGGAGAGGGATGAGGCAGTATCAGGTATTTATTGGATAGAAAATAAATTACTTTTTTAAGGTATAATATTAGCTGTCTTGTAGTCTGCTATGACATTTTTTTCCATTTAATGAATACCAAATTAAAATTTACTGGTAGTTATTTTAAAGTGAATGTTTGTACGTATAGCTGTTTATTACAGTAAATTAATTACTGGAAATAGTTAAATATTGATGAAGTTCTGGAAGCAGTAACTTTTATTTCCGAACACAAGATTTATAACTGTAGTATAAAAACGTAATAAGAGGAAGATTCTACATAATTTTACTGGTAATGGTAGAATTATCAACAAAATGTTAGGTAAAAGAACACAGATACAACTAATGTGATATTTTAATGTAGCAGTGTTTTGCTTTCCAATAGCTTTGTCAAGTCGTTGGTAATAACTTTACACGTTACAAGAAGACAGAGGTGTGAGAGCATAATGACATTCCATGTTAATAATTTCCCTTGAGTTGAGCAGATAGGAATTAGCTTTTGAGCTAGGAAAATCTAATGAGTAATTTGAATCGTTTTTATTTTTGTATTACTCTACAATTTCAGCATGCAAGCATTAGTGTGTATGGTATTAAGAGCTTTTAATTGTCAAAAGTGCTGAATGACATATTGTGTATCTTAAAACATCTTTTCTTAGTGATAAAAATTTGTAGAGTCATGTAACAGCTCCAAGAATAATGTACTGCCTGTATTGACAGTCATTATAATTGTGGCCTATGTCTTTAGGAAAAATTGTCAATCAACTGTTATTCATTTCTATATTTTTTAATCTGCACACTTAAGCCAATCCCACTTTATGTTAGAGGTAGGAAGATTGCTTTCCTTCTTCTAAATAAATGAAATAGTAAATTTTGCAGATATTCTTGGTTAAAATATTAAATGTCCCATCATCTATGCCTTCTCTTAGGTAGTAGGTTGGTAGACAGCAACCGCCCAGGGAGGTACTACCGTTCTGCCAAGTGAGTGTAAAACGAAAGCCTGTAATTGTTTTACATGATGGTAGGATTGCTGGTGTCTTTTGTCTGTCTCATAAACATGCAAGATTTCAGGTACGTTTTGCTACTTCTACGTACACTTAGGTCACACTACACATACATGTACAAGCATATATATATACACACCCCTCTGGGTTTTCTGCTATTTTCTTTCTAGTTCTTGTTCTTGTTTATTTCCTCTTATCTCCATGGGGAAGTGGAACAGAATTCTTCCTCCGTAAGCCATGCGTGTTGTAAGAGGCGACTAAAATGCCAGGAGGAAGGGGCTAGTAACCCCTTCTCCTGTATAAATTACTAAATTTGAAAAGAGAAACTTTTGTTTTTCTTTTTGGGCCACCCTGCCTAGGTGGGATACGGCCGGTGTGTTGAAAGAAAGAAAAGATCTATGCCTTCTTTTTTTTGCACAGGACACTCTACATCTCTCAGTATATTAGCATGTGTTATTGGCTTGATGTGCTGTTGGAGTGTAAGCAGAATAACATTTACAGAGGGATTCAGGACACTGGTTGAGTCTTGGAGGAAGAAAGTGTACAGTGCCTGCACTCTAGTGGAGGGGTGAGGATTTTGCAATTAGGATGGGTAGGGGTCATTTGAATTGTGATGGCTGTGCACTTCTGGCATGACTACTGTTGAATGGGTGATGGTGAATGCAATTCCGTGTTTTTTAGGACACCAGACTTTGGTGGGAGATGGCCTGTGTGCTAAAAAGTTCTCATTTTCTTTTAAAAATAACATATTTGTTGATGTCATCTTGTATTGTGTATACCAGCAGGTGAAGAATGTGTTCCTCCTCCCAAAAAACCTCAGTCATCAGTAAACAAAGCATCCCAAGAGCAGTCTGTGCCGAAAACATCAAAGTTGCAAATAAAACCTTTGCAGCAAGTGGAGACTCAGTGCACACTCGCTCCCAAGGTAGAGCCAAGTGGACAAATACAACTACAACCTGGTGAGTAATGCTGGGTAGATTAAATTTTAGGATGGGAGTTTCTGGTTTGGTATTATGTAGCATACTTTAGAAGTCATTGGCTGAGTCCTGTTTGGATACCAATGTACATATTTTAACGCATTTTTGTGTACACTATCTTATAGTTGAGGTATTTGTGGTGGCTCCCTCAACATTTTTTTTTTTTTTTGGTGGGGGGGTGTTAGGACTGCAGTATTATTTATTAAACGGGTTCTTTAACCCTTTGACTGTTTCAGTCGTATATGTACGTCTTACCAGCCACCTTGTTTTACGTATATATACTCATAAATTTTAGCGGCTTCAAATCAAGCAGGAGAAAGCTGGTAGGCCCACATGTGAGAGAATGGGTCTGTGTGGTCAGTGTGCACCATGTAAAAAAATCCTGCAATACGCAGTGCATAATGAGGAAAAAAAAAATTCCAACCGTGTTTTTGGATTGAAACGCCGACTTTGTGGTGCATTTTTGTACAGTATTTATGGATGCATTCTCGTTTTCTTGGTCTCATTTGGTAGAATGGAAAACATATTATAGAAATAGAGGTGATTTTGATTGGTTTTCCTATGAAAAGAACCTTGAAATGGAGCTCAAAGTAGGGGAAATGTTTGATTTTTACTGATGTTCAAAAGTAAACAAATGATGTCATTATCCAGTAAATCTTCAACTAGCCATTCTAATATGCAGTCATGAATGGGTTGACATTATTTATACAATTATTGCAATATTGCAGTAGTCTGCATGACAGTAAATCTTCTATTTTTTGTTTGAATAAAAATTCAAAATAGAAAGCAAGAGTAATATCAGAGGGGCCTGGAGATGTGACTGACAAACAAAGAAAATGTTATTTTAGAGCCAGGAATGTCTGCATTATTCATTCTGGACCCTATTTTGAAATTGTCATATTTTTTAATTTTCGTGAAATTGGCCAAATTGCAAATTTCTGACCACGTTATTGGTCAGTTTCTTGTACTCAGTCAATAGAACAAATGGAGTTCTAAAGAAACAGCTGTGAGTTTGGTTGATTGGAACAATGGAATTAGCTGAAAATAGGGCTCAAAGTGGGCGAAATCGCTGATTCGTAAATGTCACCGAGGTTGCTAACTTCGCGAGAGTGTAATTCTGTAAGTTTTACATCAGATTTTGTTCTTTTGGTGTCATTACCATCGGGAAAAGATTCTCTCTCATTTCATAAGAAAAAATTTATTATTATTATTACTTTTTTTTTTTTTCAAAAATGCTTTGACACCAGGAGACACCTCAGGATTTGGGGGTTTCGTAGTCAAAGGGTTAAGATTTAGCAATAAATAACTTGGTATTATGCAGAGTATATTACAGTAGTGTTTTGTGATAACCTTTCTAACTTAATAAACTTTTTAAAAGTCTTTGTTTTGAGGTGGTTTCTTGAATTAGCCACTACAAAAATTCTGCTTCATATTTGGAATGCATTTGTCATAATATTATATGCTTTATTTCAGAAACCAAGCTTTTAGCACTTTCAGCCTATTATAAAATCATTGCTTTTTGCCTTCCATTATTTCTTATATCAGCAGACAGAGGACACTATTTGGTGGATAAACCATCATAGTCTTTTGTAGTAGGATCTTTTTCTCATTACTGGATAATATTATTTATGCCCTGCAGGGGTAAATCTTTCCAATTACTGCATTGTGTCATTCCCTATATCTCGTATTTTCGTGCACTGGAAAGGACTGATAAATTCAAGGAGTGCCGGCCAACATAGGTTTTCCATGATAGTGTTCAAGATTCTTAAAAAAAAGTTGAGCCATAATTTAAGTAAACTGCTTTTATATGTATATTTGTTTTATAAATGTCTTATGATATCTTCCTTCTTTGAAAACTACTACTTATCTTGATGGGGTAATCTCAGTGTCTTGCTAATGGCCCAGGATGAAATAAAACTGTCTGATATCCATTTACAATTTGTAGGTCGTAGGTAAATAGGCATTTTGCAGAGAATTTATTGAAGAATTACAATCATCACATTTGAATATATGAACACTTGCAAAATTGTTGTTTGAGTGGATATTTTTTAAGAAAAATATTTGAGAAGAAAACAGCATGCATATAAATGTCAGTGTACTTGTGATGTACCATGATGTACTAGCTTATTTTGTATTTACCAAATGAAGGGGGAGGAACCTTTAAAGGTATAATCTAAATTTTTTAGTATTTTAATATTGAGTTAATCATAAATTCTGAATCACATAGGGTACCTTTCAGTACCCTTGATTCTTAAGCCTTGCTATAATATCAATTTTACCAGACTAACAGAGGTCATATAATTCGACAAGACATCCCTGCCATACTAATTATACATCTCCCATGTCTATAAGCACCAGGGACTGCTAGAAACTTAAACTAGACATAAATATCATTTTTTTTTTTTTTAACAAGTTGGCTGTCTCCGACCGATGCAGGGTGACCCAAAAAGAAAGAAAATACTTTCATCGTCATTCAACACTTTCGCCTCACTCATACATAATCACAGTTTTTGCAGAGGTGCCCAGAACACAACAGTGTAGAAGCATATACGTATAAAGATACACAACATATCCCTCCAAGCTACCAATATCTAAAACCCCTCCTTTAACCCTTAAATGGTCCAAATGTATATATATGTTCACTCGCATAGCGCCCCAAATTTTTTTTTGAGAATTTTTTTTTTTTAATAGGAAAAACGAGCACATGGTTCCCAGGTGTCCCCAATTATTTTAATATGGCGCACAGTGAGTGCGCATACCCATTCTCTCATGTCTAGGTGACTCAGGCTTATCATGGCAATGTTGAATGAATGACAAAGAAAACGTATATATACGTTTGGGGCGCTACGCACGTGAACGTATATATACATTTGGACCGTTTAAGGGTTAAAGTGCAGGCATTGTACTCAAGTCCAGCTATATAAAAATAACCGGTTTCCCTGAATCCCTTCACTAAATATTACCCTGCTCACACTCTAACAGCTCGTTAGGTCCCAGATACCATTCGTCTCCATTCACTCCTATCTAACACGCTCACACATGCTTGCTGGAAGTCCAAGCCCCTCACCCACAAAACCTCCTTTACCCCCTCCCTCCAACCTTGTTGAGGACGACCCCTACCCCGCCTTCCTTCCCCTACAGATTTATATGCTCTCCATGTCATTCTACTTTGATCCATTCTCTCTAAATGACCAAACCACCTCAACAACCCCTTTTCAGCCCTAGTAGGTTGGTAGACAGCAACCACCCAGGGAGGTACTACTGTCCTGCCAAGTGAGTGTAAAACGAGAGCCTATAATTGTTTTACTTGATGCTAGGATTGCTGGTGTCTTTTGTCTGTCTCATAAGTATGCAAGATTACAGGTATGTCTTGCTACTTCTACTTACACTTATGTCACACTACACATACATGTACACATTTATTTATACACACTCGTCTGAGTTTTCTTTGATTTTATCTTAATAGTTCTTGTTCTTACTTTTCCTTTTATATCCATGGGGAAGTGGAATAAGAATCTTTCCTCCGTAAATCATGCGTGTTGTAAAAGTCAATTGAAATGCTGGGAACAATGGGCTAGTAACCCCTTTTCCTGTACAGATTACTAAAAAGAAGAAGAAGAAAATTGTCAAATATAAATATAGCAGGTTTATTAATTACTGTACGTACAAAGATTGTTGCAATTCTACTGCACCCAAAATTCTACTGGAACTGTAAGGCTACTCACAAATGTTTAGAAGTTGAGAGTTATCAGGATTAATCTGTTTCATGGCTGACTGTTTCATCATGAATTTGTGATGTTGTGATGTTATGACACATTCTTCTTGGCTAGCTTTCTAAATGTTTCATCCAAATTAAGTTGTTTCATGTGCTTTGATCTTTCCCTGTGTAATTTTTCATGCATCAAATAAAAATTCACTATTGTTCTACCCCAAATGAACGTTGTTGTAGCCCTTTTGATTAATTCACCTGCCAGCTCAATTAATTTGTCAGTAGCGATTGCTATTGGCAAGCTAATACAGTGGACCCCCGGTTAACGATATTTTTTCATTCCAGAAATATGTTCAGGTGCTAGTACTGACCGAATTTGTTCCCATAAGGAATATTGTGAAGTAGATTAGTCCATTTCAGACCCCCAAACATACACGTACAAACGCACTTACATAAATACACTTACATAATTGGTCGCATTGGGAGGTGATCATTAAGCGGGGGTCCACTGTATATCTATTAACCCTAGCCATAGATCACCACCAACCCCTGTGGTGTCAACAATATAAGTGAGCATGCATTGCACACAATGCTGTCTGTTGCCACCTTCATAATTTTGTCTAGACTAAAAGATATGCCAGACCATACATTGCAGGAAAATCTGTTTTGTGCCTGTACTGTATAGAAGACCTTTATAGTTTTTTCTTGAAAAGCTGGAGAATCTGTGTCCCCTCAAGTTGCTGAGGCAATGTTGATGCAGAGCCCTCTGGCCACCTCATTGCTCCAGTCCTTCTTGGCCACTTCACTCTGGTTTGGGTCCCCTGAAACATCAAAGAAGAAAAAGTTGGGTGGTCCATCTAAACAGAAACAGCAGCATCAGGTAAGTTTGACTGTATTTTTGTGTTAAAAAAATTAAGCAGTAATTTGTACACTATACATTTGTTCTGATGAATCATTTGAGAATCACCACCTATCAGTTTTACCACCAAACTGCCAGTTTTGAATTCTTACTACTATTCACTTAATTCGCCCACCTCCTACCTTCCATTCTCTAATCTCTAATGGATTTCCATTTTTATGTCAAATCAGATCTATCCTGACAATCTGTACTCCATTTTCACACCGGAAATTGTGCAGGTACAACATCTCCCTTTTGTAGCCCAGTAGAGACAACACTTTGTAAACATGACTGAAAATTCAGCTGGGAAACCAATATCAGGCAATAGTCTGTATATACTCCTTCACCCTGTAATTAGAAGTACAAAAAAAAAAAAATATTTTTCTTCTGAAATGGCAGAGAATGTTTTTCTGAAGGCAGTGACACCAAAAATACAAAATTTGATGGAAGACTTATGGATGGTGAAATGATTAGTTGTTAGTTTAGGCACTAGTCTGTAATAACCCTTTCACTGTCCATACCTCCAAAATTAATAATTGCTCCTAGTGTCTGCTTTAAAAAAAATCTGAAGTAGTAAAGTATCATTTTTTGAAGGTAATGACACCAGTAATACAAAATTTGATGGAAAACTTACATAATCACACAGGCACAAAGTAAGTGGTCTGGGTGCAATTGATGCACCAGCCATTTTGTTCACATTGAGCTCTATTTAAGTCAGTTCCATTGCTCCACTCGACCAGATTCTTAGCCCATTCAACTATTATAACTACCCTATAAAGTACACAGACATCGGTAATTTGGCCAACTTTACACAAAATTTAAAAAAAGGAATGCAGAATAAACAATGCAGACATTACTGACACTAAAGTATTTCTTCTGTTCATTAACATGTTCCCAGGCCTCTATCACAGTGGCTTCCATTTTGAATACATAATCACACAAAAATAGATTTACCTTATTTCCTTGATAATTAAATATAACCAGAATGATTGGTCATGATTCACAGCATCCCAGTAATTGAATCAGACCTATTAAAAACCCACAAAACAGACTGGGGATGCTGGGGGGGGGGGTCTTTGTCTGTCCTCAGGTGAAGTGGTAAAAATCAAATATTTTTGCTACTTCCAGCCCAGTTTCAAGCTACTTCCAGTCCTGAAACCAATCAGAATCATTCTGTCAATTAATACCAATAAACAGAAAATTAAACCATCTAAGAAAACACCTCCGAGTTGCTATAGTAAACCAAACACATTGTTTTTCCCATCATGCACTGTGTGGGGCAGTTTTTTGTTTTTTTTTGTTTTTGTGCTGTGCACAGTCACCATGCAGACCCATTCTCTCATATCTAGGCCAAATTTTACTGTTCACAGCTCTTTGAGTGAGCTGAGCTCATGATGTAGAACTGTTTGGACCCTAACCGTAGTGATGTAATTCTCTGTGACAGCCACTGAAAGGGTTAAAGCCATTGTTTATCTAGACCTGGGAAATGATTACCCCCTCCCATCCCTCAAACAGACTGATCGGAGCTTCTGCATAAAATCTCTTAACTGCTTTAGGTAACTTATCTTTTATTCCATACATCTGCAACATCAACTACATGGCTTTCCTATCTTCCTTATTATATATGTACCCTTTCTACATTTATAAATGCAGCAAACAGCTCTTTAACCTTACCTGAGTATTTCTTCTTAAATCCTCTCTGCAGTCCTGTACTCTGTCTTTTCCCTAACTTTTTCATAATAATTCCTACCATAAACTTTTCCTGGTACATATACTCGACAGGTTTTTTTTAATAACACTGGCCGCCTCTCACCGAGGTAGGGTGACCTGAGAAAGAAGAAGCACTTTCACTATCATTCACTCTATCATTATCTCAGCAGTGTCTTTTTTTTTTTTTTAACACATCGGCTGTTTCCCACCAAGGTAGAGTGACCTAAAAACAAAGAAAACCCCAAAAGGAAAGAAAAAATACTTTCAATATAATTCAGCACTTTCACCATCGCTTGTACATAATTACTGTCATTGCAGAGGTGCTCAGATACAACAGTTTAGAAGTTCCTCCAAACTGCCAATATCACAAACCCCTCCTTTAAGGTGCAGGCATTGTACTTCCCATTTCTAGGACTCAAGTCCAGCTAACCGGTTTCCCTGAATCCCTTCACAAATATTACCCTGCTCACACTCCAACAGCTCGTCATGTCCCAAAAACCATTCGCTCCTATCTAACATACTCACGCATGCCTGCTGGAAGTCCAAGCCCCTCACCCACAAACCCCCCCCTATACCCCCTCCCTCCAACCTTTTCTAGGACGACTCCTACCCCACCTTCCTTCCCCTACAGATTTATACGCTCTCCAAGTCATTCTACTTTGTTCCATTCATTCTAAATGACCAAACCACCTAAACAATCCCTCTTAAGCTCTCCGACTAATACTTTTAGTAACTCCACACCTAATTTCCACACTCAGAATTCTCTGCATAATATTTATACCACACATTGCCCTTAGACACGACATTACTGCCTCCAGCTGCCTCTTCGTTGCAGCATTTACAACCCAAGCTTCACACCCATATAAGAGTGTTGTACCACTATACTTTCATACATTCCCTTCTTTGCCTCCATGGATAACATTTATTGTCTCCACAGATACCTCAACACACCCTTCACCATTTTTCCTTCATCAATTCCATGGTTAACCTCATCTTTCATAAACCCATCTGCTGGCAAGTCAACTCCCAAATACAGTGGACCCCCGAGTTTCGTGATTAATCCGTTCCAGAGAGCCCGCCGAAGGTCGAAATTCACGAAGCTCAAAACCATTTTCCCCATAAGAAATAATGGAAATAAAATTAATCTGTTCCAGACACCCAAAAATATTAAAATAAAATATTTTTTTTCAAATTAAATAAAGATTTACATAATGAAAACAATCAGAAATCAAGTACATGCATTTAAAATAAATAATAATAACATTACACTTACCTTTACTGAAGACTTCTGGGTGGATGGAAGATGGGAGGAAGTGATAGGAGGAAGGTGTACACTATTGTTTGGCAGGAGAATCTCCTTTCATTAGGACTTTAGGTAGCAAGTCCTTATCTGGGGTTACTTCCCTTCTTCTTTTAATGCCACTGGGAACAACTTGAGAGTCACTGGACCCCTGGCGCACAAAATATCTATCCAGAGAGGTCTTTTTCTGGCGTTTATTTAAGATTTCCCTGAAGTGGGACACAACACTGTCATTGTACATGTTGCAGATACAGCTTGTTTCAGCTTGGTCAGGGTGATACTTTTCAACAAACCTTTGCAACTCATTCCACATTCCACACATGTCCTTAATCACTGAAGAAGGCACCTCATCCACTCCCTCTTCCTCCTCCTCTGAAGCAAGTTCCTCGGCTGTGGTCTGATTCTGTTCCAGTTGAAGCTCTTGCAGTTCGTCAGTGGTTCGCTCTTCCCTGTGGTCCTCCACCAACCCTTCCACATCCCCGTCACTCACTTTATTTACCAAAGGGCTTGCACTAGCTTTCCTTGGGTCCATGATGACTTATTTGGAAGTTGCAAGCACAAAAAACAATGGATTATTATGAAATGTATTGTATGAACCCACGGGGTGATGGTCACGTGTTGGTAAACAATGGCACACTGAGCGTGAATGGCGTGGGCTACTGGCTTTGTGTGCGCGGTGACAGGCAGACGGGTACCGGACGGTCGCCGAAACACAAGTTTTTTCACGAAACTCGAGGCCAAATTTTTCCAAAAAAACTCGCCGAAGGTCGAATTTCGCGAAAGTCGAGGCTGCCGAAACTCGGGGGACCACTGTATCTGAAAGCATTCACTTCTTCCATACTCCTTCTCTCCAATGTGATACCCAATTTTTCTTTATCTAAATCGTTTGATACCCTCATCACCTTACTCTTATCTATGTTCACTTTCAACTTTCTACCTTTACACACCCTCTGAAAATCGTCCACTAACCTTTGCAACTTTTCTTTAGAATCTCCCAAAAGCACAGTATCTTCAGCAAAAAGTAACTGTGTCAACTCCCATTTTGTATTTGATTCCCCATAATTTAATCCCACCCCTCTCCCCAGCACCCTAGCATTTACTTCTTTTACAACCCCATCTATAAATATATTAAACAACCATGGTGACATTACACATCCCTGTCTAAGACCTACTTTTACTAGGAAGTAATCTCCCTCTCTCCTACACACCGTAACCTGAGCCTCACTATCCTCATAAAAACTCTTCACAGCATTTAGTACTAAAGCTTACTACCTGTTTCATACACTTGCAACATCTGCCACATTGCTCCCCTATCCACTCTATCATAAGGTAGGCAGATGGATTTTCGCTTTCCTAACACACAGAACACAAAAAGTAGTAGTGAACAGGGCAAGATCCAACATCAGTGAGGTCAAAAGCTCAGTGCCCCAAGGCACTGTCCTGGCACCTCTGCTGTTCCTCATCCTCATAGCAGACATAGACAGAAACACAGGGCACACTTTTGTATCATCATTTGAAGATGACACTAAAATAAGCATGAAAGTCATAACGGTAGAGGACACTGAAAAAGTACAGGAAGACATAAACAGGGTTTTCCAGTGGGCAGTGGAGAACAACATGACGTTCAATGGTGATAAGTTCCAGCTGCTTAGGTATGGAAAGAATGAAGAACTCAAAAGGAGCACTATATACAGAACTCAAGAGGGTCACCAAATAGAACATATGAAACACGTAAAAGACCTAGGAATAATTATGTCAGCGGACCTTTCTTTTAACCTGTAAACGGTCCAAACGTATATATACGTTCACTACCGTACTGCCCCAACTTTTTTGAGAATTTTTTTTTTTTTTTTTTTCAACAACTCGGTCATCTCCCACCGAGGCAGGGTGACCCAAAAAAGAAAATCCCCAAAAAGAAAATACTTTCATCATCATTCAACACTTTCACCACACTCACACATTATCACTGCTTTTGCAGAGGTGCTCAGAATACAACAGCTTAGAAGCATATACGTATAAAGATACACAATATATCCCTCCAAACTGCCAATATCCCAAACCCCTCCTTTAAAGTGCAGGCATTGTACTTCCCATTTCCAGGACTCAAGTCCGACTATATGAAAATAACCGGTTTCCCTGAATCCCTTCACTAAATATTACCCTGCTCACACTCCAACAGACCGTCAGGTCCCAAGTATCATTCGTCTCCATTCACTCCTATCTAACACGCTCATGCACGCTTGCTGGAAGTCCAAGCCCCTCGCCCACAAAACCTCCTTTACCCCCTCTTTCCAACCCTTTCGAGGACGACCCCTACCCCTCTTTCCTTCCCTTATAGATTTATATGCTTTCCATGTCATTCTACTTTGATCCATTCTCTCTAAATGACCAGACCACCTCAACAACCCCTCTTCTGCCCTCTGACTAATGCTTTTATTAACTCCACACCTTCTCCTAATTTCCACACTCCGAATTTTCTGCATAATATTTACACCACACATTGCCCTTAGACAGGACATCTCCACTGCCTTCAACCATCTCCTCGCTGCTGCATTTACCACCCAAGCTTCGCATCCATATAAGAGTGTTGGTACTACTATACTTTCATACATTCCTTCTTTGCCTCCATAGATAACGTTTTTTTGACTCCACATATACCTCAATGCACCACTCACCTTTTTTCCCTCATCAATTCTATGATTAACCTCATCCTTCATAAATCCATCCGCCGACACTTCAACTCCCAAGTATCTGAAAACATTCACTTCTTCCATACTCCTCCTCCCCAATTTGATATCCAATTTTTCTTTATCTAAATCATTTGATACCCTCATCATCTTACTCTTTTCTATGTTCACTTTCAACTTTCTACCTTTACACACATTCTCAAACTCATCCACTAACCTTTGCAATTTTTCTTTAGAATCTCCCATAAGCACAGTATCATCAGCAAAAATTTAATCCCACCCCTCTCCCGAACACCCTAGCATTTACTTCTTTTACAACCCCATCTATAAATATATTAAACAACCATGGTGACATTACACATCCCTGTCTAAGACCTACTTTTACCGGGAAGTATTCTCCCTCTCTTCTACATACCCTAACCTGAGCCTCACTATCCTCATAAAAGCTCTTTACAGCATTTAGTAACTTACCACCTATTCCATATACTTGCAACATCTGCCACATTGCTCCTCTATCCACTCTATCATATGCCTTTTCTAAATCCATAAATGCAATAAAAACTTCCCTACCTTTATCTAAATACTGTTCAAATATATGCTTCAATGTAAGCACTTGATCTACACATCCCCTACCCACTCTGAAGCCTCCTTGCTCATCCGCAATTCTACATTCTGTCTTACCTCTAATTCTTTCAATTATAACCCTACCATATACTTTTCCTGGTATACTCAGTAAACTTATTCCTCTATAATTTTTACAATCTCTTTTGTCCCCTTTCCCTTTATATAAAGGGACTATACATGCTCTCCACATATGGTACCCAGGCATCCCCAATTATTTTAATATGGTGCACAGTGAGTGCTCACACCCATTCTCACATGTTTAGGCGACTCAGGCTTATTGTGGCAATGTTAAATGTAGGACACATAAAACGCATATATACGTTTGGGGCACTAGCGGTAAAAACGTATATATACGTTTGGACCGTTTACGGGTTAAAGACCATAACAAGACAAAGATCACGACAGCCAGGAAGATTACTGGGTGGATATTGAGACTTTCAAAACAAGGGAAATAATGCCGATGGTAACACTCTTCAAAACGCTAGTGCTCCCTCACTTAGAATATTGCTCAGTGCTGACAGCCCCGTTCAAGGCAGGAGAAATATCAGAGCTGGGACAAATACAGAGATTGTTTATGGCTCACATTGAGCCAATAAAGCACCTAAATTACTGGGAATGCCTGCAAGTCTTGAACATGTACTCATTGGAGCGGAGGAGAGAGAGGTACATTATAATATATACCTGGAAGGTACTCGAGGGCTTGGTCCCAAATCTGCACACTGCCATAACAACATACCGGAGTGAGAGATATGGGAGGAAGTGTAAAATAAACCCAGTGAGGAGCAGGGGTGCAGTGGGGACAATAAGGGAACACTATCAACATCCGGGGTCCCAGACTTTTCAACATCTTACCAGAAGATATCAGAAACACTGCTGGAACAAGTGTAGAAGCCTTCAAGAGGAAACTGGACAAGTATCTTCACCAGGTGCCAAATCAACCAGGCTGTGATGGATATGTGGGGCAGCGGGCCTCCAGCAGCAACAGCCTGGTTGACCAGGCAAGCACCAGACAAGCCTGGCCCATGGCCGGGCTCAGAGAGTAGATAAACTCTTGAAACTCTTCAAAGGTATATCAAAGGTAAGGTATGTATGCAATGAAAACTTCCCTACCTTTATTTAAATACTGTTCACATATATGCTTCAACGTAAACAGTTGATCTATCCATCCCTACACACTCTAAAGCCTCCTTGCTCATCTGCAATCCTACTCTCTGTTTTGTCTCTTATTCTTTCAATAATAACCCTGCCGTACACTTTCCCCTGTAATTTTTATAATCTCTTTTGTCCCCCTTCCCTTAATATAAAGGAGCTCAGCACATTCTCTGCCAACCACTCCAACACTATATCCCCCCCTCCCTGCTTTTAATATTTCTGTCATGATCCCGTCAGTTCCAGCTGCTTTACCCCCTTTCATTCTATGTAATGCCTACACACTTTCCCCACACTCACATCCTGCTCGTCTTCACTTCTAAAAGATATTATACCTCCCTGGCCAGTGCATGAAATTACTGCCTCCCTTTCTTCATCAACACTTAAAAGTTCCTCAAAATATTCCCGCCATCTACCCAATACCTCCAGCTCCCCATCTACTAACTCCCCTACTCTGTTTTTAACTGATAAATCAGTGCGTTCCCTAGGGTTTCTTAACTTGTTTATATCACTGCAAAACTTTTTCTTATTTTCAGCAAAATTATTTTTTGACAGTGCCTCTCCCACTCTATCATTTGCTCTTCTTTTACACTCGCCACTCTCTTCACTTTTCTTGTACTCTCCATATACTCTGCCCTTTTTATATCAGTTCTGCTTTGTAAAAACCTCTCATAAGCTACCTTTTCCTCTTTTATCGCACACTTTACTTCTTCATTCCATCAATCACTCCTCTTTCCTCCTGCACCCACCTTTCTATAACCTCAAACTTCTGCCCTACATTCTAATGCGTACTGCATTTTTAAAACTGTCCCATCCCTCTTCAAACCCCCCCACTACCCATACTTGCACTAGCCCACCCTTCTGCCAATAGTTGCTTATATCTCACCCTAACTTCCTCCTCCCATAGTTTATACACTTTCACCTCTCTCTTACTTGTTGTTGCCATATTCCTTTTGTCCCATCTACCTCTTACTCTAACTGTAGCTACAACTAAATAATGATCCGATATATCCGTTGGCCATCCATAAATACGTACATCCTGAAGCCTACCCATCAACCTTTTATCCACCAATACATAATCTAACAAACTTCTTTCATTACGTGTTATAACATACCTTGTATACTTATTTATCCTCTTATTTTATAAAACATGTATTACTTATTACCAAACCTCTTTCTACAGAACAGGTTTATTCCCCTAAAATTCTTATGTTCTCCTTTGTCCCTTTAAAAAAGTGTACTGTATTTGTTAATTTATTTTCTAATTTATAGGTACCTGATGATGTCACAAGTGAAACATTAGCAGTGTCTGCAGGTTCAACAAAAGACAAAAAGAAGCGTCAAGAGCTGAAGAATACTGGTCAGAGCTACATAAATACGAAAGGAAAACTAGTTGATGCTAAACGAGTGTGGCCACAAGACTGCAGCAGGTCTGTAGACATGTCCTAATATGCCGGTCCCACCTCCATCATTATCATCACCATTCATCAGTCATACAAGATGCAGCTTAGCAGTTGGTTCAGTACTCTTGAAAATACTTAAGTACATTACATTGTATTTCCATTTTTCACAAAATGTCAACAGGCAAGTGTGTTAGATCATAGTGGAGGCTGATTGTTTTTTGTTTTTTTGCTTGATGTGATATTATAGCCTGAGCTAGGCAACATTTATGAAAAGATTGAGGGGAAACTAGTTAGTCAGATTCGAGTACTGCAGTTTGAAGGAGGGGTGTGGCTATTGCAGTTTGAAGAGTTACTGAGTTTTTGAATGAATAATAGTGAGTGTAATTTTTTTTTTTTTTTATGGGGAGGAGGGCGTCACCCTATCTTGATGGGAGATGGCCAGTGTGGTAAAAAAAAAAAAAAACAACTGAAATTGATCATTCCTTTTTTGGAGAGTTTACTGTCATGAAAAGTTTGTATTGTAAATTACAGTGCTTCTGCTTAACAGACTAACTAGGGAAAATCCCAAATTCTGAAATTAATTTATCATGATCATAACATAAACAAAGTTCTGAATCAGAAGACTACTGGATGCTAAGACTATTGGTATTGTAACCTGTGGTACTACAGTACAGTACTGTAATTTCATAGTACCTAATTTACAGTAATTTTACTTACCTTTTCGTGGGAGAGAAATGAGGTATAAATTACTGTGATTGATACGGGTGACTCAGAATAACTTTTATAATCTCTTTTGTCCCCCTTCCCTTAATATAAAGAACTAAGCACATTCTCTGCCAATCCCTAGGTACTTTCCCCTCTTTCATACATTTATTAAACAAAAACACTCAGAATAGCTTTTATTCTGAGTCAGAGAAGCTGTAAAGCTCTGTTAGTGAAAATGTAGATGGCTGAGAAGATGCCAGACTCAACCTTTTTTTATTAGTTTCAAGTTTCTGCGTAACACTGAGAACTACGTTTTTCCTCTCGGCACTACCACTTGCATTAGCAAACATTATTAATAACACTTTACTTAATATGTTAATAAAGTGACACAAAACACTGTAAATCCAGGGAAAATTAGAGACTGAATGACAAGTGTATGTGTGAGAGCATAAACTGGTGTGGGTGGCCTAAGGCTGGGAACAGTGAAAACAGACAGGTCCTAAATGTGGATGCTCTGGCCCTTATGGAACAAACGTCAGAATCATTAGACTTGGTCCCGTACTTCAGAAGAGAACTAGACACTGTCACTTTGGTTAAAATCCAAAATACAGACTTATCCATTTTTGTCTGATGATTCCGTTTGTTCGGTCTTTTTTTTTTTTTTTTCCATAATTTCCAAAATCCATTAATGAGAGTCCGTTAAATAGAAGTTTTACTGTTCATTTACCAGGTGTCCTCTTAAGTGCAACGCCCGTATCAGTGAGGAAGATCGTCAGAAGATTTTTGCTGAATATTGGGGTTTGGCTGACTACAACCTTCAGAGAGAGTACTTAGCAGCCCATATGCAGCGTGAGGAGAAACTGGGTCCCAGTGGCCTTCTCCGCACTGTCATACTTTATTTCCTTACTTGTGGCAGCAACAACAAGCTACAGGCAAGTGCTCATTTTGTAACGTTTTCAAAATTTTATTTCTTATTATTTTCTTAATTATTTTCTTAAGAAGAAAAATGTATTGCATAATGCTTTTTCAAGGTAGTAATGACACCTTGTTATAAGAGCTTCAGTGTAGAAGTCGTGGTCAGGCAAATCAGTAGGTGGATTTCAACAGCCAATTTCTTTGTTTTATTTTAGAAAACCTCTACATTAAGTACACAGCATTCATATACATAATCATTCCCTGAATATAGATTGGTTTACCCAGGCCTTCTTATTGGACATTCAGGAAACAGACAAATATTTATTGTTGTCTTTAAGAGCACAAGGGTGTTCAGGGAAAGTTGGAGTAACACAGGCTTCATCACACAAATTCCTTGGTATTTGCACAGAGAAGAAAGGTTAACCTGTCCTTAGCCTTCTTGAAATCAGGCACAAATTTTTCAGTCTTGAATATACAGTGGTACCTCGGGTTACGAACAGTCCCAACTCGAACAATTATGTAAGTGTACTTTTGTAAGTGTATTTTTGGGGGGTCTGACATGGACTAATCTAATTTACATTATTCCTTAGGGGAACAAAAATTTTTTTTGGTATCGGCACTCAAACACCCTTCTGGAACGAATTAAGTTCATAACTCGAGGTACCACTTTAATAGTTCATCTTGGTATCATCTTTCAAACCAGCTTAAACAACACAGTATCGAGGGTATGCACAATACATGTAGTAACATCAGTTGGTCTATAGTACCCTGCTTTTATGTCACTAAACCATTTATCACCCATCATAGTGTTTACAATATTCCTTCAAAGAAAGCTCCTTGATGCTGTTGAGGGAAGATTGATGCAAGGAATTAAACCTGTTCTTCCCTGCTTTGGCTTGAACCCAATTGCCTCTTATTACCCCAGGCATTGTATGACCCCTTTGGGTTTAGCACTTCCTGCTTCAACCTAAATATAATGATAATGCATGGTCACTGATACATATGAGTTGGCATAGGTAAACATGCTTAATAATCTCACTCTTTCTGTCATTTTCAATACGGTTCTCTTCCTCTTTGATGCTGGCAAGGGCCTCTTGATCCATGAAACCGGATTTGTTCTCCCCTTCCTTGGATTAAATATGAATGCCTTCCATTCCCCTGGCACTATATATCCCCTATGAGTTTAGCATTTCCCCCTAATTAAACTTAAAATTAAATTTTCTATCTCTCTTGGGTATAGATTCATCTTTAGTGTGTGTGTGTGTAATATATCTGTATACATACTACAGTGGACCCCCGAGTTTCGTGATTAATCCGTTCCAGAGAGCCTGCTGAATGGTGAAATTCACGATTGGCGAATCCATTTTCCCCATAAGAAATAATGGAAATCCAATTAATCCGTTTCAGACTCCCAAAAGTATTAACAGAAAATAATTTTTTTAAAGATTAAATATAGATTTACATACAGAAAACAATGACATAAATATAAAGCACTAATAAAATGAAGATTGAGACACTTATGCAGCATATGGAAATCTTTATTCAGGAAACGTTTCGCCACACAGTGGCTTCATAAGTCCAATACAAAGAGGAAGGCGTAAGGAGAGGAGGAGAATGAGGTAATCAGTCCCTCAACCTGGAGTCGATGTGTTCAGTCCATCAATCTTGTCGGTTTTTCAAACCATTCATCACACTAATAAAATGGATAAATGAACATTTAACATCACACTTACCTTTATTGACTCCTGTTGGTGTATGGAAGACAGGTAGGAAGGGAGAGGGAGGCGAGTTTATGCTTCAGTATGATGCTAACATAATCTCTATGGCTTATTTATCTATCACAATTCATCTAATATGACATAATAAACAATATTAATAACATAGAAGCATGATATATACTCTAGAATGAATGAAATATGCCATATGTAATGTATGTGAGGAGTAAGTGCCACATGGAAGTGTTGTTGTTGGGTTTATAAAGGCCACTGAGAGAAGCCGTACATATTAGTGGTAGTGGAAGTGGCAGCAGAAGCCACCACCAGCATTCACAATGTAATTTATAAATAAGAAATATTTATGTACATTTTAATTTATAAATAAGAAATATTTACACTTACCTTGGAGGAGATGTTAGTTTAATTAGTTTGATGAAGGAGATGCTGGCAGTGGTTTAGGGTGGTGGAAGATAGCAGGGCGACATATGTTCGTTGGCCCTCTACACCTCCAACAACATTGGAGAATTACTTTCATGTCTTTTTTCTATCACTTAACTTACTTGCTACACTGTTAATTCTACCTTTATCGTGGTGGCACTTACCCTTTATCGATCCCTGCTGCTTTTTATCGTAAATCACGAACGCTGCAGAAGGCACATTCTCCCTCCACTTCCTCCTCCACTTGGTACTTTGTACAGTTTTTTTTGAATTCTATCGGTTTCTTTCTTTCTTTCAAAGGCCCTGGCATTGGAGCTTTTTTTGGGCCCCATGGGGCTTATTAGCATTTGAAAAACACAAAAAACAATGGATTATTATGAATGTTTCGAAAGCCCCCAGGGAGTGATGGTCCCCTCGGGGGAAAACAAGGCACACGAGTGGGGTGGGGGTGGGAGACGTTTTGTGTGCACGCTGACCGAATGGTACCAGACGGTCACCGAATCAGAACCCAATCATGAACTGTGAAGCAAAATTTTTGGCAAAAAAATTTTTGGAAAGTAAATTTCACAAAGTCGGGGCCCGCCAAAAAGGGGGGGCCCCACTGTGTTTTATTTATTATTTTTACAATGCGAACGTATACAGATACACTTAAAATATGTCTGGGGGTTTTGATTAAAGGGAGTCTTTGCTTGGGGCAAACCTGTATTACCAATGCCTCAACTGTAGTCTTTTATAATTTAATTTTACCCAAATCAGTGCATACATGTAGCCACCCCTTTATCCCCCCTCCCCCACACATTCCCAAAAACACAAACACATACCATGAAGATTTGTTATATTTTTGCACCCTTACTGAGGTTTATATTTGGTGCTGTGCCCTTTATTTTAACCCTTTCAGTGTGGGTCCCTAATATTACACAAAATTCTACCCTTTTTCAAATTGGTGAAAAAAGCGGGTGGGCCCTACACGTGAAAGAATGGGTCTGCAGGTTGTGTGCGCAGTATAAAAAAAATCCTGCAGACGCAGGGGCATGAGAAAAAAAAAACCCGCCCGGGTTTTGGGGTGAAAAACAGTGACTTTGCGTGATTTTGTATATATTTATGATTGTATTCTTTTTTTTCTTGGTCTCATTTGATAGAATGGAAGATAATTACAGAAAGGGATATGATTTTGTTTGGGTTTTTCATGAGAAAAGTACCATCAAATTAAGGTCAAAATAGCGAAATGTTCGATTTTTCCCAATGTTAAAGTGAACAAACATGTCACTGTCCAGTAGTGTCCCCCGGCCCAGTCTGATATGAGTCGTGAATGGGTTGCATTTTTTTAAATTTTTATAAAATTTTAAAAGGATCAGGAATTTTGGGAAGAAAAAAAAGCCATAAATGAAACGAAAAAAACCCCAAAAGTATTTCTTCTCCTATGCCAAATCAAAGTCGAGAAAAAGCCGTATTGGGCCCCACTTAAACAAATGGGTCCCACAGATGACGAAAGGGAAAAATGAGTGAGCTACTCAAGTCCCAATATGACTCAGTTTTTTAGAAACCGCAACCAGACTGAGAGCAAAGACAAAATGTTTTTTTTATGAGGGCCACAAAATTTGGTTAACACAAGCCTATCTATGTTCCCCCTCCGCCCAAATGACTTCGAACAGGCATAAATGACATCCCCCATGCACTCTCCCCCCGGGCCCAGCTCGGAAAACCCCGTGTTATCAAAAACTGAAAGAACCCCTAACACGAGCTTTTACCCCTTTGGAGAGGGAGCATGGACCGGGGGTCGTCCCACATTTAAAAAAACAACAGACATCCCCACTCCAATTTGGGGGGCAGTAAAGAAAACAGCAAAGAATACAGACCGAAAGCACTAACTCCCATATCAAAAAATCTTTAAAAAGGCCCTAAGAAGAAAGACCCCACCCATCTAGAAACCCCATCAATTACAAAACCCCCAGGCAACGGGGGGGGTTTAGAACAGGCGCTCCTGTCTGTCTCAACAGGGTCACTACGAAAAGGGTCCTAGTCATAAATAAAAAAAATCAGATGTAATTTACGACTTTGCAAAACCTTCGACAAGTGTACCATGGCTAATAGCGTATAAAGCGTGTAAAGGAAAAACGGGAAAAGTGGGGTCGATGGATCTATTTTTCCCTCACAAACAAAAACACAAGATAGTAGTCAACAGAGTAAATCCAAGGCAGTCGGTGAAAAGCTCTGTTCCACAGGCACAGTACTTGCTCCCATTTTTTTCCTCATCCTCATATCTGACAAGACAAGGATGTCAGCCACAGCACCGTGTCTTCCTTTGCAGATGACCCCAATCGCCGAGTGTCTTCCTTGCAGACACGCAAGGCCCCCAGGCGGAATCAAAAAATTTTCAGGGCTGCAGAAAAAAATATGAATTTTAAAACGATGAGAAATTTTAAATTATCAATTGGCAAACACGGGAAATTAAATCGTTCAGAGTACAAAACAAATTTGGGCCACAAAATAGAGCGAACCCCCGTAAATACCTGGGAGTGATCATGTCGGAGGACCACCTTCAAGGATCAAACATTTATCAATCGCATTGCTAAAAAAATTAAGGAGGATAAGAAAACCCTTAAAAACTAGGGATCCCAACCCCATGATGACACTCTTCGGGTCACTTGTTCTATTAGGCGGGAATTTTACTGCACCTAACACACCTCTCAAGGCGGGTAAATTGCTGACCTAAAAATGTACAGAAAACCCTTCACGGCGTGCATAAGGGAGTTTTAAAACCCTTAAATTACTGGGAGCGTTTGAGGTTTCCAAACCTGATTCCCGGAACGAGGCGGAGAGATACATGATTTTACCCGGAAAATCAAGGGACTAGTACCAAACTT